TTTTTATTCCTGATTTAGAAATATTCAAATAACGGCCCTAGAGCATGATCGATGCTTATTACCCGCCCGACGAAAGTAGCACAGAATGTGGAATTATTTGCCATTAAAGAAGGAAAATGTAAACAAAGTAGGAGTTTGACTTCCATACAAAAATTCCTGTGAGTGTACTTATTCCAAGAAACAAAAGGCTTTTAAGGTTTTAAGTATTCATTCGTTGCCGTATGATTATATTCCAATGTATGTTTATTTATGAATAGTTAACAAAATATTGCATTCCTTCAAGTGATTAGTACACAGAGCGTTAATTCCGTGCAAGACGAACTTCCATTGATCTGTAGCAATCACACGGTAACAGCAGAAATGCGGATGTCCTATCTGCGACAACCCCCCCCCCCCCCCTTAAAAAGAAAATAAAGTTTATGTAAAGATAGACAACTTCACGAGATATCCGACTATGTGAAAACTCGGGTAAAAGTCGACCTAACTACATGTTTAATCAAATTTTGATTAGAAGAAAAACAACGATTAAAGGTAAGACGACCGTTATATATATTAGTCCAGTAATTTCGACATTTGAGCCGCGTCACGACAAAACCAACATAATGGGTTTGCGACCAGCATGGATCTAGACCAGCCTGCGCATCCGCGCAGTCTGATCAGAATCCATGCTGTTCGCTTACCAACCCTATAACAAGTAAAGAAACTGATAGCGAACAGCATGGATCCTGATCAGACTGCGCGGAAGCGCAGGCTGGTCTGGATCCATGCTGGTCGCAAACGCACGTTGGTTTTGTCGTGACACGGCTCATTTATCAATTTTAACAAAAACCTGCTCATTGGTTATTAACTGGGATGTTTGGACGAATTGTTAAATTACTAATAGCAACCGTTCATGTGATGGATTGAACGCATACAGAATTACAGATACCATTTTATGGTGCAATGAATTCGGATTTTTGATCCGATCTGACTTAGGACTGTTTTTGATCATTTATAAGTATAGGAGTCATAAGTTAGGACCTTTTTTAAGACTTTCTTTGAAACGCAAAATTGTCACAATTTTTATCCTAAGACAAACTTAAGACTTAGGACTCTCCATGAAACGCAGCCCTGAGTTTGATACATACGGAATTTTGCAAAACTAGTGTTGCATCAAAAAATCATTTATGTTCATTTTTATGACAGCCACTCTTTGTCCTCGCATATCATGGCTACTTCCTTAACAAAGATACTTAAAAAAGAATTTAAAAAAAAAAGTTTCCTCGACTGGATTTGAACTCCAGACCTCTCACACACTAAGCGAGTGCGTTACCCCTGCACCACGGAGAAGTTATACAAACAATAACTGAATAACATCAAGTCATTCTAAATTTAGAACTTCCATTGCATTTCGGGTTTGTAATCCTTATTAATTTCGAGTTATTTTGTTCAGGATAAACCTGTTGTTTAAAATTGAAGTAAATAATTTAGCGAAAATCTTCTCGCCCAAACAGTCCGACATGTAGAATCTCTATATTCCACTACTCGGTTTGTGTAGTATTCGGTAATCGACATCGCTAAAAATAGTATTTTCATTGATAAAATCATATTCATCCGCGTAATTTGTGATTGTGCATTTATTGACAATTCTATAAGCCAACGCTACTTTTAAACTTTGAATGCGTTGTAATTTGTTTGATACTTGTAACAAAATAAAAAATATTTCTTTCTTTTAAAATGCTAGTTTTAAGCTGTTTTGAGAACTACTTGTTGTTAGGCTTGTCGTGAAACTTCTGTGTCAGAGATTGAATGTCCGCTTTGTAGTTACTTATCTTCGATCAGAAAATACAATTAAACAATATTAGAAATCTTCGACCATTCGGGAATTATTTTGCTTGAAAATTAATGCGTCTGTCTTGAGCCATCTTTACGCAGTGATCTCCCCTGAATTTTTTGGCGTTAGTGTACATATAAAGGGAAGTAACCGCTTCAAAAAAGCGGACTATTTTCGGCATTTGCAATTAACAGCATTAGACTCTGAAATTTCGCTAATTTCTGACGACCCAAACAAATAAAAATCACAAAATTGGAGAATAGTAAACCCAAAGAGCGAGAGCTGGAAACATCTTCTAGTGAGTGTCTATTATGTTTGTTCAAATAAAAGCCCTGGGGTCAAAATTGGCCCTGCCCCGCCTTCTTTATTTCTAAAGGGACCAACGTCATTCTTGAAAAATATATGTTCCTTATCATTAACAACGTCTTATGTGACAAGATTCATAACTCAAGCACTAATATTAAAAGAATTATCTCCCCATTTTTATATTTTTTTTACTTGAAAAATGTTATTTTTACTATAACTTCTTTAGTTTTAAAGGTATCTACCTCAAACTTCAAATACATATTTCTTTAACTCTTGAAGCAATATTTTCAGACTTGTCTCCCTTTGTGAACTTAGAATTTTCTTTAAAAAAATATTGTAACTTCTTTACTTTTTAAGGTATCAACTTCAAACTTCAAATATATATTTCTTATCATTACACACATGTTGCATGACAAGGTTCATAACTCAAGCCTGACTATTTGCAGAATTATTCCCCTTTGAACTTGGAATTTATGTTAACAAATGTTATTTTTTACTATAACTTCTTGTCATATGGAGAAGAGTTGTAAAACGCAAGCTCCTGCATTCCCAGAATTATCTCCATTTAATTTTTTAACTTACAATTCATTCTTTAATATTATCTTTGTTATTAAAAATGATATCTACTCTAGACTGATGATAAATAATTGTTCTTTTTCATCACTCACATCATGCATGACAAGGTTCATAACCATAGCATCTTTTACAAGAGTTATTTTCTCTTTGAACTCATTATTATACTTTAAACAAGAGGGCCATGATGGCCCTGGATCGCTCACCTGACACAACCGCAGCCAAACAATGTCTTAAACAAGCATCATGGCCAAGTTTGATGACAACTGAGTCAAACAAGTGACCTCTAGTGTGTTAAAGATTTTTCCATATTGGGGCAATGTGACCTAATTTTTGACCGGACACGACCTATATTCAAACTTGACCTAGAAATCATCAAAACAACCTTCCTAACCAATTTCCAGGAAATTTGAATCAAAACTGCAGCCACTAGAGTGTTAAAAAGATTTTTCTATTTTTAGCTCCTGTGACCTAGTTTTTGACCAGATATGACCAATCTTAGCAAGTGACCCAGAAATCATCAAAACAACCTTCCTGACAAATTTCCAGAATATTTGAATCAAAACTGCAGCCACTAGAGTGTTAACAAGCTTTTTCTATTTTTAGCTCCTGTGACGTAGTTTTTGACCTGAGATGACCCATCTTCGATCTTGACCCAGAAATCATCAAAACAACCTTCCTGACAAATTTCCAGAATATTTGAATCAATACTGCAGCCACTAGAGTGTTTACAAGCATTTTCTATTTTTAGCTCCTGTGACCTAGTTTTTGACCGGAGATAATCCATCTTTGAACTTGACCTAGAAATCATCAAAACAACCTTCCTGACAAATTTCCAGAATATTTGAATCAAAACTGCAGCCACTAGAGTGTTTACAAGCTTTTTCTATTTCTAGCTCCTGTGACCTAGTTTTTGACCGGAGATAAGCCATCTTCGAACTTGACCTAGAAATCATCAAAACAACCTTCCTGACAAATTTCCAGAATATTTGGATGAAAACTGCAGCCCCAAATGTGTTAACAAGCTTTTCTATTTTTAGTTCCTGTGACCTAGTTTTTGACCAGAGATGACCCATCTTCAATCTTGACTTAGAAATCATCAAAACAACCTTCTTGATAAAATTTCCAGAATATTTAGATGAAAACTGCAGCCACTAGAGTGTTAACAAGCTTTTTCTATTTTTATTGATACAAATATTCTGGAAATTTGACAGGAAGGTTGTTTTGATGATTTCTAGATCAAGTTCGAAGATGGATCATCTCCGGTTAAAGACTAGGTCACAGGAGCTAAAATTATGCCATTTTTGACTTGAGACTTAACCTCTTCATTTTTTAAGTACTGAAAAACATTCTCCTGTCTTGTGCCAGCAGATTTTGTTTCTTTTTTCAAGAACTGATTTAAAGTGAACTTACTGATAGCATAACTACTACAAAGCTTCAGGGTACACATAGTGGAAATTTCATTTTAGTGTTGGCTTAACATAACAAAAATGAAAAAGTTGATAAAAATGTGACTTAATCTACATTCAAAAAGTTTAACAGCATATTGTTGGAAAAGTGACTATTTACAATACAGTATTGACAGTTTTTGCTGCAGGAGTTACCAGTATAGTGTCTTATTAAACGAAGATACAATACATGATGTAGTTACACCTATCTGCTCCCCACATTTTAATACTAGCTTTGTCCAGTAGTTACCTCCCTTCATTTTGATATTCTATGAAGCTCTTTTCTCACCAATACATTGTGATAAAGACTTGTTTTCAACTCTGACTCTACATTTAAAGTTGTTCAGACTTCCCTTTGATATAATTTCTTGTAACTCTTAAGTTACCTCCCTTGATGACCAAGTCTAAAAATGTTTAAGTATTTTTAGCAAAACAGGAGAGTTTTCTATTTCTTCTATTTTTCCCTTGCAAGCTATAGTCTTGCTAACAATCACATATGGTTATACCCAGTAGTCACACCAAGTCAAAATGTTATAAAAACATTTATTAAACATTTCACAGAATAAGATGCACCATGACATATATTACTGGTAAATGAAAGAACAATAAAAACAATTAAAATCAGCATTTTTGTCCCATTAATTCATTTAAACAATATTCTGATAAAATTCTGAATGAAAAGCATAAATGGTTCACTATTTGATTATGCAGAAGTGCCTTTTCATTCATCAACAGGTGGGTAATTAATTCTGTATCAGAATTTACAGGTTTTCTTGATTAAAAAAACTGACACTCTTACACATCAATACTTTCAGAAAACATCAAATTATACAAAATCCAAATAAAGCTATTAAAAAATACACACACATAATTACAAGACAACCCAAAATGCATAAATTAAGATTAGATCAAATTTAAAATAACAATGTGAAAGATATAACAAAAGCTATCTGCAAGACAGCGTGCTTGACTATTCATGATGCTCGACAGTAAGAAAAGGAGCATAACTCTGTAAAAAGGTAACTAAGAGCTAACGCACAAGTGCAATGCTAGATAATCTTCTCAAGTGTGTGAAGTTTCAAACCATTTCCTTCAGTAGTTTTGGAGATGCAAAAACATAACAAAAGTGTGATGGTGATGCCAACAGCCAAACCAGGGTGAGAACAAAGCTCTCCCTATTGTTATAATAGACAATTTCATTAAAGCATTAATAGGTATTGTTAGATTTCAAATCTAAACTGAGCAAGCTTTTCATTTTATAATAATGTTGTGTTGTGTTTGGTGTAGCACCAGTTAACCCTTGTCACTAAATCCTATACAAATAGTAGTGTATTTCAACAAATAAATGAGAACTTCTCTTTTATATGAATCATGTAATAACAGCTGTGCAAGACTGGAGGATGAATGGAATACATAAAAAAATGTCATCAACCAAATCTTCACAAAAAACAGATGCTTTGCCCAGTACAACATAGTGAATGCGAGGTCTGTAGACCAAAGTTAACAGTAACTAAATACCAGTAAAGGAATCTGACAAGCTAAACAATATGGATAATCGTTCTCCAAAATACTATTTAAATTTTAATATTGTGACACTTGTTAAGAAAATAATTTGAACTAGCTGATGACCAACAAAATGTATGCAATATGTTTCACTTAGCAACAGTTACAAAATTGAAAGTAAGGGAAAATGAACCATGATGCTAATTTATTGTTTATAAGATACCATAACCAGTGCTATTTGAAATACTCATTTGGATTAATGTCTCTGTGATCTTCAAATTCTCCATTAATTTGGAAACTATTGATTTAAAGGAACTCAACTGAGGTCTAAAAGCCTAAACATATAAAATTTGAAGTTGTTACATAAATCAACTGGAGCACTGAGAAAAATATGCAAAAGATAACAAAGAAATACATGTATGCTCTGTATTAAATAAAAAATATTTGTTTTTGCCATGAATATTAGCTGGATCTGAATTAAAAGCATTTTTGCATAAATGATGCACAAATCTCAAAAACTATTTCCAGTCCCTTCATGTTAAAACACCTCAGTTGAATACACAATATCATATAGTTTGATTACAGAATAAATACACATTAAATGTTTATCTTTTTCATGATTTTGCAAGTTTTATTATATAACCTGGGACAAAAAATTTGTCCAAGATATAACTTATGCTTCGTTAACAAACATATACAATGGTAACCATGCCCTGCTTTGAAAATGAACCTGGTAATTGATTAGTATAAATGGGTTAATGTTAAAAAAGATAAAATTGAGCAACTTTTTTATGTAAGAGAGTCCGGCCATGATTTTTAATAAACAAGAGGGCCAAGATGGCCCTAGATCGCTCACCTGACCCGTCAAACTCATCCGAACAATTACCTAGACAATTGTTCTGACCAAGTTTCATGACAGGTGTGTCAAAAATGTGACCACTAGTGTTAACAAGGATTATCTATATTTGAGCAGTGTGACCTAGTTTTTGACCCCAGGTGACCCATATTCGAGCTTGACATTCGAGCAATTGCCTAGACAAGCATCCTGACCAAGTTTGATGATAATTGAGTCAAAAATGTGACACTAGAGTGTTCACAAGGTTTTTCTATTTTTAGCTCCTGTGACCTAGTTTTCCATCCGAGATAAATCATGTTCAAACTTATCCAAGCATCGACTAGACAAGCATTCTGATGATTGGGTCAAAAATGTGACCACTAGACTGTTCGCAAGGTTTTTCTATTTTTAGCTCCTGTGACCTAGTTTTCCACCCGAGATGACCCATGTTCGAACTCATCCAAACAATAGACTAAACAAGCATCCTGACAAGGTTTCTTAATAATTGGGTCAAAAATGTGACCACTAGAGTGTTCACAAGGTTTTTCTATTTATAGCTCCTGTGACCTAGTTTTCATCGGAGATAAACCATGTGCAAACTCATCAAAGCAATTATCTACACAAGCATCCTGACAAAGTTTGATCATGATTAGGTAAAAAATGTGACCACTAGAGTGTTCAAAAGGTTTTTCTATTTTTAGCTCCGCTGACCTAGTTTTCCATCCGAAATGACCCAGTTTTGAACTCATCCGAGCAATTGACTAAACAAGCATCCTGACAAAGTTTGATGATGATTGAGTCATAAGTGTGACCACTAGTGTGTTCACAAGCAATTGTGGACGTACGACGGACGACGGAAATTCACCGATCCTAATAGCTCACCCTGAGCAAGCTCAGGTGAGCTAAAAAAAACCCAAAAACATTGAGTAATATAATTGACAGTTTAAACTTTGTTTACAATAAGAAAATTAAGTAATTACATTACAATTCAAAAATTGGTTTACCTTAAGAAAAATTTGTAAATCAATTGACAATTGTTGTGTGACAATGGAAAGAATAACAATTCTTGAACTCGGATTAAAAACATAGTATACAGATATATGAATATATGGTAACAACGTTCTGCATAATAAGTAAAAACACAATACATAACAACAAATGACAAGGCCATTTTCTTAACAGGAGATTCTTTTCACAACAAACCATCACCATTACTTTAATGAGAAGAAATCTTACAAACTCTATGATGAGGAATTACATCATTTTACATACATTTCTCTTCTTACAAGTATCATTTAAATTGTTTTAACTTTACAGCTAAGAATTAAACCTGTCATGAGTTATACAAGTTTAAACTGTCATAAGCCACTTAACCATTCAAAACCATTTCAAGGAAGTTACTTAAACAATCAAAACAACTTCATGGAAATTAAAATGATATTTGTCTTTTAAGAGGCTGTTTGTTTCCAGTAATATGTCAAAATATCTCAACTTAAAAACAGCTCACTAAAGATTTTGGCATCAATAATTTAGGCTCATGTGTGTATTTTTTTTACATTATTCCTTATTCTTGAATGTTTAACATCAATTATAATAAATAGATTCCTTACATAAAGCAAAAAGTCTAGTACCTTAGTACAGAAAATACAGTTTAACTTAAAGCTGCATGCCTCCAGATGAACCAAAAATATTTCAAGAAAATCAAACTTGACAAAAATGCACTAAGATTTTAAGGAAAGTATAAAGATTTAAGATTCAAGTAATAATCTAGATGTTATCTGCGCTGAATGACTGATTTTGCAGTATTTATCACCATTTTTCTACAGTGTGACTAACACAGTTATGCCTTATTTTGATATTTTTACCTACTTTTCATAATTTACGCGGATTGTAAAATAATGTTTGAAATGTGGAAATTACTTTCTTTGTTCACTTCACAATATTTTACTTTTTTAATACATTTTCAAAATTTTCATGAAATTAGCATGAATCTGGAGGCATGCTGCTTTAAAATTCAGGGAATATTGCACTGTTATGATACATACATAAACAAATATACTAAGTACTAATATAAGTTTAATATCAATATTTTAGTAAAAATACAATTTTGTTCTTTTCTGAAGACACATTAATTAACATGAAGAATAAAATGTAAATCACAACAATTATAAATTGTGTTCCTCAAAACATTTAGTTACGACAGTATTGTAATGACCTCTCAAAACTGTCCAAGAATTACCATGTAAGCAGCTCTCCAGTTATAAGTATGTAAGTATATATAGGAGTTAGCTTTCTGTGCCATTAGCTGGACATGCATATTCATTATCATTGTATATGCCAGTATTGGCATGACTAGATGATTCTTCAGTTAAACTTTTTCTTTGTTGCTGTGTATCTTTCCATATACTGTAACAGAAAAAATGTTTGTAATGTATTTAATAACTCTACAACTTCTACAAACATTATTTACAATGATGTTTGTTTAGTTTAAACATATTTTATTTAGCAATTTTACAAGAATGTATCATACTATCATTTACATCATAATATATATGGATTGGAAATCAAGGATACATGTATATGGATCGGAAAACAAGCATATGTTATATCAATTCCTTTCCATAATGGAGTTTCGTCTTCATTATTTGTTTGTTTGTTTAATTGTTTGTTCAAATTACATAATGTGAATTTTAAATGCAATATTCAATCCCCCAACCAAGTGGTTTAGCTTAAGTAAAATTATAAGAAATGCTGACCACAAGGAAAGATCGTTTGATCTTTAACACATGTATAAGAAAGAAATTTTCAATTTATTTCATGTGTTTGACCTTTTCAATGATTTCTGCAGTGTTAACATACATGATGTCATAATTCTCATGTTTAAATACTTCTATGACAGGTATGGATTTCCTTATATTTTAATATTTCATGCACAAATGTTTATTCTGTTCTTTATAAGGTTGATATTGAACAGTAAAAATACAAAACACTCATGTACCAAATAAAAAGATTTTTATGGTCTGTACATGGATGTTTCTGATGAAAAGACTTTTTAAGACTTCATTTTAACCCTTTACCCCATGTATATGTGAAACAACGCACTTTCGACCCCCCCCCCCCCTCTTTAAGGCCTCAAATAGTGAAGAAATGTGCTATTTGGGCCCCAAATACATGTTTTCATTTGAGAAATGTTGCTAAAAAAAGTGAGCACTTTTTCGGCGCCGCCCCCATCCAAAAGATACATCAGGGGGTTGCCAGAAGAGCGATGTGCCCCCTTCTGTTTGGGGGGTTTGAAGGGGGGCGGTAGTCCCCCTCATCGCCAAGAAAATTTTGGACTTGTGATAGGCTAAAAATGACTCCAGATCGATCATAAGGTAATGTGTAACCAACCCTGAAAAGCCTTTGACTCCATCTCAATCCCGTGAGAAGTTGCAGCACTTTGAAATAAATTTTGATGGAAAAAGTCAAGGCAAAATAGTGATTTTTGGCAATTTTGAGACGTCCCCTCGTTGCCATGGTAACAGGAAATTTAAGACTGAGCATGTCGTTACAAAGGCAATGGTCCAGTCAACATTTGTGCCAAGTTTGATTAGTATTGAAGGATTTTTCATAGTTTCATAGCAGTTTGAACTTGTAACAGGAGGCTTTTCAATGAAAACGGCCATTTTTCACAATATGCTCATGAGGGAAAGGGTTAACCAAAAAAAATGAAAAATGTTACAAAACAACAATTTTCCACCAAAGTTAGGTGAAAGACCACGTTAACTAGATTTTGGGTAATTCCAAAGTTTTTCATCATTTTTTGTTAACCCTTTACCCCATATATACCGTTCTATTTGGGCCCCAAATACATGTTTTTGTTTGAGAAATGTTGCTAAAAAAAGTGAGCTCTTTTTCGACGCCGTCCCCCATCCAAAAGGTACATCAGGGGGTTGCCAGAAGGGGGATGTGCCCCCTTCTGTTTTGGGGGTTTGAAGGGGGGCGGTAGTCCCCCTCATCGCCAAGAAAATTTTGGACTTGTGAGAGGCTAAAAATGACCCCAGATCGATCATTAGGTAATGTGTAACCAACGCTGAAAAGCCTTTGACTCTATCTCAATCCCTTGAGAAGTTGCAGCACTTTGAAATAAATTTTGATGGAAAAAGTCAAGGAAAAATAGTGATTTTTGGCAATTTTGAGACGTCCCTCGTTGCCATGGTAACAGGAAATTTAAGACTGAGCATGTCGTTACAAAGGTAATAGTCCAGTCAACATCTGTGCCAAGTTTTATTAGTATTGAAGGATTTTTCATAGTTTCATAGCAGTTTGAACTTGTAACAGGAGGCTTTTCAATGAAAACGGCCATTTTTCACAATATGCTCATGAGGGAAAGGGTTAAAAGTCGTTTTTTTAAGTTCCTATGACCTTCTTATGCATCTGACTTGAGCTACTTTTTACAGAGAGCCACCCAAGGATCACTCTTGTAAAATTTTGTCACAATTGACCCAGTCAGATGTTTAAGAGAAATGATGTTTTAATAATCTGTTCATTACTACGGAAAATGTGAAATGACAAACCACAGACAAAGTACATGAACCACTCCTTATAACCTACCTGTGAACCCTTTAACAAGCTAAAAATAGGAACAACTTACATCATCATAACCTTCCAAGTTATTAAATTTTTTCATATCAAACACATTGCCTTCAATAGCTAGGAGTGCTATCTGTGACTGTTTCATTATCCTAGGTGTAAGTGCCGTAATCTCTAAACAATTCTCCTCCAGTCTCAACACCTTTAACCTTGGCCATTCCGCAATACAGTCAGGTAAGGTAGATATCTGAATCATCAAAGCAGTATTTAATGATTATAACAAAGCATGATAAAGAGAAACCAAGCTCACAATATAGAATAATGTCAGTATCTTTTTTACCATTAAGTCTATGAAATTAAAGTAACATTTTCAGCAGTATTTTTAAAATATTAAGTGATAACTGGTGGCAAAATATGCTATAGCAAATTAAAAAGCTGTACAGTCATGCTACATGTACTTTATTATCTTTATGGTCAAATCCGTGGAGAATTTTAATGAAATCCCTGCTATTGTATTGAATGCAAAAAAAATTGCAATAAATTGCATAAGAAAACAGATGCAAACAAATATTCTACAGTTTACATCATTACAGACAGCCAAATATTGTTTAATGATACAATAAGGATTTTTCATGACAAAGTATAATTTTTAAGTAAATTCAATCAATTATATATTGTAATACATGACCACTAGATATAAGATGTCATAATATATATATGCACTTGTTTGGAATATATAGATCTGAAACACAGATATTTATCATCAAATAAAATGTAAGGCATTTCTGCAAATTATCGATAATTGTCTTAATATACTATGAAAATAAAAAACTTATAGCATACCTGATTTTGATTTAGATTTAATTCAATTGTATGACAAGTTTTAGAATTAGGTTGAATTTCTGTAATTCTATTCTTTGATAAATCTATAGCATCTAGATGTGTTAAATCACAAAGTTCCTGTGGAAATGTTTTAAATCCATTACCACTGAGGTTAACAGTTCTGAGGTGTTTCAAGTTAAGGAATGTTCCAGGTAGCTGACGTAACAAGTTGTTATCTAATGACAAAGTTTCCAATTTCTTCAGATTTCCTATTTCTTGAGGTAATGTCTCTGAAAATAACAAAATAATCTAAATAATATTTTTTTTATCATTTAAGACACAAAAGTAAGAAGTTGGATGAAAAATGCTTTTTTGAAAACTTTACAGTGTATTAAATGGCTCTTAATTCCTTATAAAATATTTGTTATTACTGTAATAAACGCTGCACTAAGGCTGCCAATAATACAATGTAACTACAGTTGACTTCACACTAAAGGTTACACAAAGTGAACTTGGTGTGCACTACATGTGCACTTCAATGTGAACTTGAAAATTTTTTTCCCATTTCAAAGGGCATTTAGACCTTTAAATGCACCATTTTGTTTTAAAAAAAATTATTGAATTTTTTAAAACATTTAATGGGGCCTTTATTATTAAATAAAAGTATTTACTGTACTTACCTGACAAAGGATGTAATTCTAAGCTGGGTATTTCAATAAATCACAAATTTAAACTTTGTTTACATTTAATGATGTCATACCAAAAATCATAGTAATTAATAATTAATGGGGGGAATATAAAGGTACAAACCTATTCTGTTGTTGTTAAGATTGACAGTTTTAAGTTGTTGGAATGAACCAATAGCAGAAGGTATTGTCTGAATCTTGTTGTCTGAGAAATCAAGAGTTCTCAAATTCTTAGATAATTTCTGCAAGTTTTCTGGAAACTGAAATATATGAATAAGGAATACAATAAAGTTTATTATACTCAATGTGTGGTAAATGTATCAAAGATTGCTTGTAGCAACTATTTACCAATACTATGTTACAACATACATGTACAACAATGGCAAATTGACAAATGGTTGTATTGTTTGACACAAATGCATTAACAAATATATTTGGATCCATGTCTCACAATATAAGCTTTTTATTTATTAGTTTTCAATCACATGTATTTACTAACTTCTTAGCAGTTACGTTTTATGTTTATCAAAATCACATTCTATTTTGAACGTGAACAGAAATGTGATTGTGAAGAGAAGAATTTGTTTAAGAATAAAGAACCAAGAAGAAATATGGAATATATATCAAAGCACTCAGAGTTAAGGGTCTTGATTTCAAACTACAGAATTCATTGTTTATGAGCTAAAATATCTAGAATATCTATCATAAATCAATCGTAAGAATTATTTTTGTTTCTGACAAATTATTGTTGGAAATGTTTTTTCCTGTCCATAGTCTGTAATAGAAGTAGATCCAGTATACACACATTGACAGTCTCGATATGAACTACGTAAAAAATCGAGGTTGTTTCCCTTATCTTCAAGTTCAATCGATATCTCTAATGCTAAAAACTACAAATTTAGCTGTTTTTAACTGCTAGTTTGGGGCGATTTACTGTCCAATTTTAAAAATTTATTACACCAATGAAAAGCTTGTGATCTTAGCTTCGTCTCAGTATCTATTTCAACATATATTTGACACTGAAGTTATTTAAATCTACCGATTTACCACAAGTCAGACCATTTCACATAAATTTTATACAGTGATATACGCAACAACAGTTTATCTTTACTCGCAATTCTACTGATAAGCCTGCTAGTTCGGAAACTGCCAATCCGGGGTTTTTCTTTTTTGTATGCACCCAAAGTTCATTCTGTAAAGTTTTTTATTTTTTAAATTATTTTTTCTATTATTTTTTTCATTTTTTATATTATCAAAAAAAAAAAACAAAAATGTTTTAAAAAAAATTTCCGACCCATACGATAAGTGGATTTTACTTTTATATTACATCCCATTTGGTCGGGAAAAAAAAAAAACGTTTCCCCAAATTTAAATTCGACTTTGCATGTCCGTTTTACTCATACATTTTTCTCAGTTTTTAAAATTTTCTTTACTTCTTTCGACCTAGCTTACATAACTGCAACGCACCCGTCTTCTCCGCAGTATCAAGATGTTGCTTCACATTTGAATTACCCATTTAAACCTTTGATCTGCTGCAATTTTAGTGTTGATTGCTAAATTTTGACAATTTTTGTAAACAGGAAGTGACCGGTGCAATAGTAAACATAAGATCAGTTGATTAGTCCTAGCATGAGAAAAACTTTAAATGTTTTGAAAAAAATGGCAGAGGCAATTCAGCTTAATAAAAGTAGACGTCACATTTTGCTAACAGGACAACCAGGTATAATTCTTCTATTTTAATGTCTCAGATTTGCTTGTCAATCATGAATTAATTGAAATAATGTTAATCTGTTGCAATATAAAATAAAATTCAAAATTGAGAAATTCATAACTAACCACATGAGGACTTGAATGTCAATGTGAAAGAATGTTGTTTATGGATACATTCTCTATATTTTTTTGACTATCACTGTATGTAAACATGCACTTATAGTTTTGTATAATGAGGACAGTTTTGTCACATTAAGCAGCTTTCACTATCCAGTGCAGATCTACAGAGTATAAGATATGAATTTTAGGTGGAAGTTAGGTCACTGTATAGCGGGCAATGAGCACATTTACATACAATTACATACTTGTCAGTGGCCGAATGGTTAAGGTAGTTGACTTCAAACCACTTGCTCCTCACCGCTACATATGTTCGAATCCAGGCAGGGACTTTGGATTCTTTCATGCGAGGAATCAATCCAGCTAGCTTACGGAACATCGGTGGTTCTACATGTACTCAGGTGCCCGTTCATGCCTGAAATAATGCACAGAAGGCACCTGAGGTCTACCTCCACAAGTAAAGCTGGAATGTCGCCATATGACCTAAACTGTATCAGTGTGATGTAAAACCCAAACAAACAAGTTGAGGTAGCCCTGATATATGCTATATGTATAATATTATTATGCTGTTGTAATACCAGTAAAGGGCACACAGCCTTTTAAGCTGTCACTTCATACCAAGGGATTCCATGTCTTCTCTGCCTACTTCGAAAGGCCACTTTCTTCTGCCTCAGTCAGGACATTGGCAGCTTGGCCACATACAACTTCCTGTTTTCTTTTTTACGCTGTCACAATTTCTTTTAATCTTCTGCAAATGCACTGTTCTTCTGCGCAACGTACACTTAAAGGTTTAGGGGAAGAAGGGATAGATATTTGCCATACATATATTACAATAAATTTATACATGTACAAGTATAGTGGTGCAATAAACTTTATTATTTCACACCTTATAAAATATATACCAATGTTCTATCAGCATTTGCACCACACAATATTCAAATAGAAATCATTATTAGACCCAATCTTATTAATTTAGCCTTGTTTCATTTCTAGAGTCCAAAAAGTCCATATCAAATCCATATTACATCTACATCTACATTATACTGCTTAACAATCAATTCTGATTATGACTAGCAGGCGCGTTGTCAGGGAACTGTTAATAAAAGAAATTATTTATATGCAAATTAAAAAGTTAAAGAATAAAAGTACTACAAGATTATTAATTTAAAAGACGTAGTGTGCAATTTAGAATTTATAGAATGGGTCAAGCCTCTCAGTAAAGATGTTTAAACTGGGGCTAGACTGAACAGTTAGAGGAAGGCTATTCCAAAGACGTATGCTCCTAGAAAAGAAAGAATTTTGATGATACTGTGTCCTTGAGTAGGGTATCAGGTAGTTCAGATTTCTTGTTTGAGTAAGGTGTTGGTGGTCAACAAAAACAATGTTGTTTTGGATTTTATACAAGTAGGTTACAGCACTGATGTTTCGACGCTGTTCAAGGGTTTGCCAATTTAGATCATTTATCATTTTTGAGACACTACTTGTATAGTCATAATCATTAAAAATGTATCTAGCAGCTGATCTTTGTACTTGCTCTATCTTATAAATTAAGTATCTGCCAAGGATGCCAAACTATGGAGCAATATTCAACCTGAGGTCTAACATAGGTCTTATATGCAGTTTCCTTTGTCTTTTTATTTGGGGTTTTAACATTTCTTCTAATAAATCTGAGGGAGTTATTTGCTTTAGATGTAATGTTGTTTATATGTTTGGTCCATGAAAGGTCTTGTCTAATAGTGACTCCTAAGTATTTCGCTTCTTGAGTTGAGTTTAGTTGGATGTTATGGAGGGTATAAGGAAATATTACAGGGTTTCTTTTTCTTGTTATCCTGAGAACTTCACATTTGTCAGGGTTGAACTCCATGGACCAGTCTTTTTTCCATGTTTCTAAAGCACGAAGGTCATCTTGGAGGGTTTGGGCATCCTGTTTAGATCTGATGGTTAGGTAGACAACAGTATCATCTGCAAAGAGTCTAATCATATCTTATACCCAATCTTTCTAGTTTACTCACAAGTTTGTGATAGTCCACCTTATCAAATGCCTTACTGAAATCCATGACTATGACATCAGTTTGTTGGCCACTTTCAAGATTGTCATGAATTTCCTGGGAGAAGCTTACTAACACCCCATATAGCCTTGTTTTAATTTCAAAAGTTCAGAAGGTTCCATATCAATATTGCCTTGTTTTCATTCAAAATTTTTCAATCCAAAATATCTTTATCAAATGCATATCATATTCTATCTACATGTAGTTTCATTTTCATTTGAGACTCCAAAATTCATACCAATATTAAGGTCTTATACTCTACTGATATTTTAATTTCAGGAGTTGGAAAGACAACTCTTGTTAAGAAGGTTTGTGACAAACTAGAAGATGAGAATTGGCAATGTCAAGGATTCTATACAGAAGAGAAAAGAGAAGATGGACAGAGGGTTGGCTTTGATGTTGTTACATTTGATGATAAAAGAGGCCCACTGGCAAGAATCATAGACAGGTAACAAACACAACAGAGCTATATTTAAATGGAGAGGAAGCTATGATGATGTCAGACATTTTAAATCTCTATCCCACAAGTTCACATTCTCGCCAGATTTTCGGAGACCTTGTTTGACACAAGAGTATTTACTGATAATTATGTATGCCATAATCTAAAATTTGTCTTGGTAATTCAAAGAAGTAACCAAAAAAATAGAAGTTGCAAAAATGTAAAAAAAACAATTAAGTTCAAGGAGATTTAAATTATTCTCAGTTATAGATGAAAATGTAAACACATTTGATTTCGTAAAACAAGATGACGGAAATTTATCAATTCCAAGGGTCAATGAATGGGTCAGGATGGGGAAAATTTCTTTACAGTGTAACTTCTGAATTCCGGAACTTCTAAAATCCGAAACTTCTGAAAACGGAACTTTTTTCAGGGTCCTGAAATTTCTCCTTCTGTTTTCTATATAATTAAAACCTCTGAATAACGGAACTTCTAAATTCTGAACGATTTTCTGGTAAAATTAGGGTTATATCAATTCAAATTTACTTTCGGAATCCGGAAATGAAAATGTGTGGAGGTATATGATACTTGTGATTGTAAAATCTTCAAAATGTCAGTATCTTCCTATTAGCAATTACCAATTATCTTGACACCTATTAGAATCACAACCTGTCAAGCATGTCAAACATTTGATTATGGTGAAATCTGGAAATTATAAGACTGAGAAGTATAATGGGAAGAAAAACAACAAAGACTTAAGGTTAATTAATATATAGCTGGTACTACATGAAATATACTAAAGGATAAATTGTGATAATTAACATTATGCTATGGTATTATTTATCAAATTCAGTTCCATACATGTGAACTCTCCCACTTTAAGCGGGAGACTCCCACTTTCTGCATCCAAACTTCCAAAGATTTTTCTTAAAATAAGGGGTATTTTCACAAATTAAAGAAATCTCCCTATTTTTGATGTCAGAACTTCCTTCTTTGTTTATTGCAAATTCTAAAATCTCCCTCTTTTTGAAGAAAAATCTCCCACTTGATCATCCAAAAAAGTTCACATGTATGCAGTTATAGATGACAAAGATATTTAATATATATATATTCTGTTTTCAGAAGTTACACTGTATTTAGAGCTTCTTATCCCCATGTAATATAAGTCTCTGAAAATACTGGAAATAAGGAAGAAACAAATATCAATGTAATATGCAGTTCAGAAATTTAAAGATTTTTTGTGTTTATTTGTTACATTGTAAATGATGAAGCTATTAGTAGAAATATTTAAACCTGATTTGTTTAAAATTAGTACTTTTATATTTTAGGATAGACTGAATGAAGTAAATTATACATGTTCTCACTGGTCCATTGGAATTCGTATTCTATGTTTTGTTTATGAAGACATTAGATTGAATGATCCATTATAACTTAGGGGATAGATTGAAAATAATTTTTACAAAGGTATTCCAGTAGTTATTTGAAATGTACTTTGATAGGAATTAAGAAAGCTGATAAGTTTTATAGTTGTTTTTTGATACAATATCATAGATAATGCATGTGATGTATGTTTACAGGGATAATCCAGTAGCAGGGAGAAGTTATATGGTGGGCAGATACAATGTTTTACTACAGTCATTTGAACAGCTTGCATTACCATCATTAGCAATAAAGGTAGGTTATAAGGTCAACCAAGTGTAGAGGACCTGTAGCGGTCACTTAACTTTTAGTCTGCTGGTGGCAACAAAATTCTGCCCATGTGACTAGTGCAGGCAAATCCATGCCGTTTGATCATAGTCTGCACTCATAGAGAGTTTTTTAAAAAAAGCTTTGTAAACTTCATATTCAAACTGTAAAATATAATTTTATATACATTATGTTATTTATCATGTAAATAAAAGGTTAACTAATACAAATTATTGTTTAAACAAAACTATAGTCTGCACTGTAGTCTGTGCACTTTTCAGTCACTATATATTTTGAAATATTCCCTAAAATGATGAATGGTTTTGTCCAGATTGAAAGATGGACAAGTCCATTTGAGAAATTCAGCGGATTAGGGGTTAATACTAAGAACACTTATGGAAATAACGATTTGCTTTAAATCACCAGTATAGTACTAACTATAGCAACATCAAACTTGTCTATATTAATGGCTGCTTGATTTTAGATCTGTAATTGTGATACAGTAAATGTTACCTAGAACTCGGCAAACAAACTAACCTCCTGGTACAAACAAACTTTTACCATTATAGGCTTTAAAATTACGTCATGTGAAAGATTGATATGGGTCATTCCTTTTATTAATTAATGTTCATTTCAGCCAGGTGAAAGTGTGTTATTGGTGTAGACACTTTTGTTTACATTTAATGGCTAGAAAATGTATGAGTTTTGTGTTATTTAGATTACAATTACTGAAGTTTTATTGAAATTCAATATGAGGTGAACTGCTTGAAGCATATGTTAAAATCAAGGGAAGTCACTATAAAAAAAAAAAAAAAAATATGTTGAAATTTTTTGTATTTATTGTCTCCCTTGAACAAGAGAGGTACAATCAAGAACATTTTTAAACATCATGTATCTTCAGCCATCAGAATACACTAGAGTGATAGTGATAGATGAGATAGGAAAGATGGAATTGTTCAGCCGGAGTTTTACACAGACGGTAAAAGACATTTTAAAACATCCGAAAACTACAGTATTTGCAACTGTGCCTCTTAAGGCTAATCCATTTGTAGAGGAAATAAAGAACAGAGATGATGTACAACTTTATACAGTAAGTAATAAATAGTGTTTACTGGAATAGTTTAATTATAAAGAGGTTGTGTGGTTAAATGCCCATCTTTTTGTCTCAGTAAGGGGCAGGGTGTACAGCAGTGTAACAGTTTTCTGAAGGTCATGGGTTTGGGTTAAGGCTGCAAAATTTTTAAACTCTGTAACATTTGGTGCTGTGATTGCACCATTTAAGCATTATTGATAGCCTTGTTTGGGCAATATCCCTTGATTTTGTTCATGTGTCATTAGGCAATAGTTGGACAAATTTCTTTCATACAGGCATTTTGGAATTATTCTTTTTCAAAATTCAGTAAACAACTTTATAAACTGCAGGCAGCTGAGATAAATCTTTAAACATAATCACCTGTTCACTCACTTTATAATACTGCAAATGTGTAACAACACTTTTCATTGGTGAATTGGGACATTTATACAATTGTATAATCTTATAAAGATTCTACATGCCTGCTGTCACTTTGTCAAGAAATTTTCATTTTGCTATTAACAATGGACGTTTGGAGTATTATAAATCTATTATAAGAACAAATTTAAGAATATCACAATTTATTGTGTTGTATGTGAGTATCATATACATGTAGTAAGTAAACATAAATGTTCTCTCCAGATTGGAATAAAAACTGTATCATTTCTACTGTGTTCTAGTTTCTTTTATTATCAATATTTAAGCAGTTTTGTTTTAGCATTAGTTTGAGGTTCATGTTTTTTTCAACATGATTGCTGAACAATAACTTATATGTACCAAAGGAAAGATTATTGAAGTACATGGTAGTTATATGAAGTAATTAACAGCTTATAATTATTTAATGATGGCTTATCGTGTACAGTTTATTAACTCCCTGTTATACAAGCCATTAATAGTACATTATTTAATCTTTAGATTAAGCTACTATATTATGAAAAAGCTAGATATAAATAAGTCAGTTATTTTTTTAAAATCTTTCAAAACAGAATGATTAACTTGTAGACTTTTCACACCATCGATTATTACCTGTCAAATTAAAATACTAATTTTGATGCTTTCTAAAATGTTTCCAGTTTGTCGTGTTTCTAGTTCAGTTATATGTACCAGTTTGTCTTGTTTCCAGTTACGCTTGTCTTGTTATAGTTACCTGTTTGTTTTGTTTCCAATTAGGTTAAAGTTACTAGTTTCTTTTGTTACCAGGTAGGTTATAGTTACCTGTTTGTCTTGTTACCAGTTAGGTTATAGTAATCTGTTTGTTTTGTTTCCAATTAGGTTAAAGTTACTAGTTTCTTTTGTTTCCAGTTAGGTTATAGTTACCTGTTTTGTCTTGTTACCAGTTAGGTTATAGTTACCTGTTTGTTTTGTTTCCAATTAGGTTAAAGTTACTAGTTTCTTTTGTTTCCAGTTGGGTTATAGTTACCTGTTTGTCTTGTTACCAGTTAGGTTATAGTAATCTGTTTGTCTTGTTACCAGTTAGGTTATAGTAATCTGTTTGTCTTGTTTCCAGTTAGGTTATAGTAATCTGTTTGTCTTGTTTCCAGTTAGGTTATAGTTACCTGTTTGTCTTGTTACCAGTTAGGTTATAGTTACCTGTTTGTCTTGTTACCAGTTAGGTTATAGTTACCTGTTTGTCTTGTTACCAGTTAGGTTATAGTTACCTGTTTGTCTTGTTACCAGTTAGGTTATAGTTACCTGTTTGTCTTGTTACCAGTTAGGTTATAGTTACCTGTTTGTCTTGTTACCAGTTAGGTTATAGTTACCTGTTTGTCTTGTTACCAGTTAGGTTATAGTTACCTGTTTGTCTTGTTTCCAGTTAGGTTATAGTTACCTGTTTGTCTTGTTACCAGTTAGGTTATAGTAATCTGTTTGTCTTGTTACCAGTTAGGTTATAGTTACCTGTTTGTCTTGTTACCAGTTAGGTTATAGTAATCTGTTTTGTTGTTTCCAATTAGGTTAAAGTTACTAGTTATCCCCCGCCGATGGAATCGGGAGGGGGATATAGTTTTGGCGTTGTCCATCCTTCCGTCCGTCCGCACTCACAGGAGAGTAATTATGTGGCTAGAGGGACAATAGGTAACTGTTCTTTCTCTTTGATGTAATTCATTCCGTAATGCTTTTATGTGGCTATTTTCTTTTGGGTGGCTAAAAAGAACAATAGAGAGAACAATAGAGTAGCCACATAATTACTGTACTGTGAGAACGTCCGTCCTTCCATCCGTCCCTCCTTCCGTACGTCCGCACTCACAGGAGAGTAATTATGTGGCTAGAGGGACAATAGGTAACTGTTCTTTCTCTTTGATGTCATTCATTCCGTAATGCTTTTATGTGGCTATTTTCTTTTGTGTGGCTAAAAAGAACAATAGAGAGAACGATAGAGTAGCCACATAATTACTGTCGTGTGAGAACTTCCGTCCTTCCGTCCGTCCGAATTTCGTTTCCGGAGTAGTTCTCTGCAACTACTGGCTGGAATTCAACGAAATTTTATGGGAATCATCAATATCAAGAGGAGATGCGCATATCGTCGGCTTGTTCCGGTCCGACCCTTTAACTCAGAGTTATGGCCCTTGATTAGTTATGTAGTATGCATATAGAGTAAAAATCGTTTCCAGAGTAGTTCTCTGCAACTACTGGCTGGAATTCAACGAAACTTTATGGGAATCATCAATATCAAGAGGAGATGCGCATATCGTCGGCTTGTTCCGGTCAGACACTTTAACTCAGAGTTATGGCCCTTGATTAGTTATGTAGTATGCATATAGAGTAAAAATCGTTTCCGTACTACTTCTCTGCAACTACTGGCTGGAATTCAACGAAACTTTATGGGAATCATCAATACCAAGAGGAGATGCGCATATCGTCGGCTTGTTCCGGTCAGACACTTAAACTTAGAGTTATGGCCCTTGATTAGTTATGCAGTATGCATATGGAGTAAAAATTGTTTCCCCGCTACTTCTTTGCAACTACGGGCTGGAATTCAACGAAACTTTATGGGAACCTTTAATACCAAGAGGAGATGCGCATATCGTCGGCTTGTTCCGGTCAGACACTTTAACTCAGAGTTATGGCCCTTGATTAGTTATGCAATATGCATATGGAGTAAAAATCGTTTCCGGAGTAGTTCTCTGCAACTACTGGCTGGAATTCAACGAAACTTTATGGGAACCTTCAATACCAAGAGGAGATGCGCATATCGTCGGCTTGTTCCGGTCAGACACTTTAACTCAGAGTTATGGCCCTTGATTAGTTATGCAGTATGCATATGGAGTAAAAATCGTTTCCGCGCTACTTCTCTGCAACTACTGGCTGGAATTCAATGAAACTTTATGGCCCTTGATTACTTATGTTACTCTGTTATTGCCCTGAATATTTATCAAGTTCAAAGAATATTACTGTTTATGCCATGATTAATATATAAATAAAGCCTTATGTCTTCAGTTGTTGTGTTAATAATAACCAGTACTCGGCGCGGGATATAAATTCAACGAATTTGCTTGTTTCTCTTGTTTCCAATAAGGTTATAGTTACCAGTTTGTCTTATTACAAGTTAGGTTATAATTACCAGTTTGTCTTGTTACAAGTTAGGTTATAATTACCAGTTTGTCTTGTTACAAGTTAGGTTATAATTACCAATTTGTCTTGTTACAAGTTAGGTTATAATTACCAATTTGTCTTGTTACAAGTTAGGTTATAATTACCAGTTTGTCTTGTTACAAGTTAGGTTATAGTTACCAGTTTGTCTTGTTACAAGTTAGGTTATAATAACCAATTTGTCTTGTTACAAGTTAGGTTATAATTACCAGTTTATCTTGTTACAAGTTAGGTTATAGTTACCAATTTGTCTTGTTACCAGTTAGGTTATAATTACCAATTTGTCTTGTTACCAGTTAGGTTATAGTTACCAATTTATCTTGTTACCAGTTAGGTTATAGTTACCAATTTGTCTTGTTACCAGTTAGGTTATAATTACCAGTTTGTCTTGTTACCAGTTAGGTTATAGTTACCAGTTTGTCTTGTTACAAGTTAGGTTATAATTACCAGTTTGTCTTGTTACAAGTTAGGTTATAGTTACCAATTTGTCTTGTTACAAGTTAGGTTATAGTTACCAGTTTGTCTTGTTACAAGTTAGGTTATAATTACCAATTTGTCTTGTTACAAGTTAGGTTATAATTACCAGTTTGTCTTGTTACAAGTTAGGTTATAGTTACCAATTTGTCTTGTTACAAGTTAGGTTATAGTTACCAATTTGTCTTGTTACAAGTTAGGTTATAATTACCAATTTGTCTTGTTACAAGTTAGGTTATAATTACCAGTTTGTCTTGTTACAAGTTAGGTTATAGTTACCTTTTTGTATTTCAGACCCCAGAAAACGTAGAATTTTGTTAACTAGCTAGTTGTCTTACACCTTATTGAGCTGAATAAGGTCATTTTAATTTCTTTTACACAATCCTGACTTTACATTTTTATATTTCAGGTAACCAAGGAAAATAGAAATCAACTTGTCAATGAAGTTATAGATGCCATTAAAGAATCATTAGAATGTTATGGGACGTGATATAATTATTATATTATTATTTTGATCCAAGGCTATTTAAGTATCACATGATTAAAAGATTAACACTTGAACTGTCTCTGAACATAAAATATGTACAGTTTGTTAAGAAGGAAATTTGCAGACCACCCAAGTAATCCAGTTAAGTGCCTGGTAATACCTTGTTTGTGAAACATTCTAGTTTAACCAAGTACCAAAAATAAACATACTTATGGTTTGTCAACCTGAAGATTATGATGATATTTTTTTCAGACCTTTATAGTGCAGGAAGGACAGTGTATGTTTGTTATTTTGTTAGGTCTAATGTCTGCTGGTCAGAATAAAGGTTCAGGGGCTCATGTGTGTTCAGTTGCTTTTTTGTTTACTATTTATTGTCATATTCACAGACTGCAAAAGAAAGAAAGTCATGAGCGTGAATTTATACATAAAAAATCACATGAACCGTAACTTAACAGCATTCAGCAACAAATTTTCTATTAGTTGCAATAGGGTCTTAATAGTTTTGATATCATTTAAATGTGTGTGTTAGGGTTACACATTGACATGTAGCAGAATAAAAACTACATAGAAAAGTTATTTAAACTTTGCATGATCTTTGAGAATGATAATAAAAACATATTAAGTAATTAAAAAATGGAAGTCTCAAGTCATTTGTCCATAATCAGTATTAGTTAGTACTTATTTCTTCTAGTTTTTTTCACAAAGCTGGATTCCTTTCAAACTATTATGCAAATTTTCAAGAATAGGAAATGAGTAGTTTTTAGCTCGACTATACGAAGTATATGGAGAGCTGTCCTACTCGCCCCGGCGTCGGCGTCCGCGTCCAGATTTCAGATTAAAGTTTTGGTGCAGTAAAATATTTTTCACTATAACTTTGTCATTTCTGAAGGTATCAACTTCAAATATATGTTCCTTATCATCAACCACATCTTATGTGACAAGGTTCATAACTCTAGCACCAATATTTTCAGATTTATCTCCCCTTGAACTTAGAATTTTCCTTAAAAAATACTATTTTTTACTGTAACTTCTTTATTTCTTAAGGGATCACCCTCATACTTCAAATAAATGTACCTTATCACCATCCCCATCTTATTTGACAAGGTTCATAACTCTAGCACCAATATTTTTAAGATTTATCTGCCCTTGAACTTAGAATTTTCCTTAAAAAATAATATTTTTTACTGTTACTTCTTTATTTCTTAAGGGATCACCCTCATACTTCAAATATATGTACCTTATCATCATCCCCATCTTATGTGACAAGGTTCGTAACTCTAGCACAAATAATTTCAGATTTATCTCCCCTTGAACTTAGAATTTTCCTTTAAAAAATATTTTTTTTTGCTGTAACTTATTTATTTCTAAAGGGATCAACTTCATACTTCAAATATATGTACCTTATCATCATCCATATCTTATGTGACACGGTTCATAACTCTAGCACCAATATTGCAAGAATTATCTCCCCATAAACATAGATTTTCTTACTAGAAAACTGTTATTTTTTACTATAACTTTTTTAGTTTTAAAGGTATCTACTTCAAACTTCAAATACTTATTTCTTATCATCAATTACATTTTATGTGACAATGTTCATAACTCTTGAAGCAATTTTCACAGATTTATCTCTCTTTGAACTTAGGATTTTCTCTAAGAAATATTATAACTTCTTTACTTTTTAAGGTATCTACTTCAAACTTCAAATATATATTTCTTATCATAACACACATGTTGTGTGACAAGGTTCATAACTCTAGCATGACTATTTCTAGAATTATTTCCCTTGATCTTGGAATTTATGTTAACAAATGTTATTTTTTTACTATAACTTAATATATATTAATACATAATTGATTTTTCTTTCATAGTTTTGTCCTCCTTACTGTGTCCAGTATTTTATTAGTCGAGCTTGGCTGTCTTCTGTGACAGCTCTTGTTTATTTTTACTTCTGCACTTGTAGCTATGCCAATTTCTTAAAAAAAAGATTTATTTTTTATTTTTAAAGAATTTATAGTCTCTAAAAACAAGATGAATTTAGAGCACACAAATGCTCAATGGAATTTCATGAAATTGTGTATTATGATCAAGAATAAAAAAAAAACATAAACCAAAAGTAATAAAAAATGGTTTGTAAGAGTTATGCACAAGTTATCTGCCCTTAAAATTATCTGAAATAACAAGAAAAAAACAACAACAAAAATTCAAGAGCAGATACTTTGAATCACAGACATATGGGGTTTGGAGCTCAAAACGCCTTTAAAATCCAAATAAAATGCATATTTGTCAATCCCAGCACATGTACTGATCATATATAATATATATAAAAAACTGAATATAAACTGTTTTGAAAACATTTCATATTTCAACATCTATAATAGATGTTGAAATATGAAATTTTTTCAAAACGGCTTATAAGGAGTGTTTGCTCTGAAGCACGCGATTAAACTGGTTTTTGCCTTAATTCTAATACAATGCCATTTACAAGTTCAAATGTTGTCTTAAACCAGTTTAATTCTTTCAATGATCTCCGAGATAAAAACAACTATAAATTGAACTTTTAAAGCAGATCTACATTTTTAAAAGTTTCTATATTATAATTAAAATATAAAAAATAATTAAAAAAAAAACATGTTTGGGTAAGTTATTGAACACTGAAAAATTGCAATCAACCGTATTAGTCTCGAACATGCTGATCTTAAAATCAATCTGCTGTGGATTTTTATAGAAAAAAATGCTAAATTACAAATTTTTGAAATGTTTTCGTTGATAATATTAAAGGAACTCCACTGAGGTTTATAAGGCTTAAACTATATAATTTTAATTTTTCACTTAGATCAACATGAGCACTTACAACAAAAATATCAATAAAATATAATTAAGAGATATACAAGAAATGCATTGAAAATCGTATGTTTGTGCCATTCTCAGTCAGATTTGAGTGAAAAGCGTTTAAACGCTTTTCAATTTTATGTCATTTTCACTATTATAATAATTATTCTGGAAAAACGAAGCCAGCTAATGAACTGAAGTTTTGCCAATAAGTTACTAGTATAGATTTACATCAAATGGAGTAATAATCTCAAAAAATTATTTCCAGTCCCGTCATGTCAAAAAATCCTCAGTGGAGTCCCTTTAAACGGTGCCCAGTAAAATGTGGTTTCCCGGAGGATCGAATTTTCATGTCGCCTTGTTTTTCCGACTGGTGATAAAAAGAAAAATGTTGGTCATATTGTAGTGAAACAAGTTTGTTTCGCTATTGAGGTACATGTACCTAATTAATTTTTTTTATAGCTGTACCTTTACCTTCTGCGCTTCTGAGCAATTAGCTTATATTGTTACTATTTATTGTTGCTAAGGTGAACCACGGATTTATGTAATATAAATCCGTGGGTGAACAATAAGAAATTTCATATTGTGTTGTAATGTAAATAACTTCATTGTTGTAGCGAAATACGTCGTTTATTTTTAAGATTTTCGTCATAAAGTAAAACCGCTAAATACTCAACACTCATTACATTTAACCATAAACACTCCACCCAGGGATATAAACTTTTACGTCATTTACAAGTGTTATTACTAATGGGATTTTTTTGCACTCTTAAAATTTAATCCAGAAATATTAAAGTTTATCTAACAATATTGTTTACAGTAGAGACTTTAAAGCAAGGCCATTGAACCACTTCAGTTGCAGGTGCGTTTGTTTCAATCTGACTTGAGTACGTTATTTCCTGCAGGGTTAATTAGGGCTGATTTCAATCAGATTGTTTTTGTTTTTAATAGGTGTGAGGTTTGAAAAACTTTCAATACATTACGTTCCAATTTTATGTAACCTTTCATAAACCAACCTAGTCTGGTCCAGGTTGCTCACGTGCAACTGAAGCATCGTTGTCAACACTCCCGATGGAGATTTTTGTGAGGAGAGCTAGACTATTTGGGATTTTTAATTAAGTGTCACGTGACTAGCAATTTGGTTTCCGGTTTAATCTATTTAAGAGTCAAAAGTACGATAGTCCGGAGTAAGTCTATTAAAATGTTTGTTTGGTTTCGACGATTGTCATATATTTGCGGTCGATCCACCTTACCGACTTTCCTGGCAAAGTTACCAGTTATTTCTCCGCAAGTGACTATTAATCACACATAGTTTTTGAATCAGATGTGACAAATGACCATTCGACCCATTTTTTAAATAAATTGTCCCGGAGAAACTTCGGCCTGCCCTAGGATCAAACCCGTTACTCCTGTATTGCAAACCCGATACCGTCACTATTTTGCCAAGCGGCCGGCCTTTCAATTAACGATGTTAAACTTAATAATACATATATATCCAAGATTAACCTCCATCTAATGATATCACAATGCTCTTGTTTGTGCTTTGTATTTATGTTATTTACTTGTTTATGTTTACGAATGTATAACATAATATTGTTCAACTCCTTGTAATGTAAGACAAACAAGAAAGTAGACCTAATTACTGCCCATTGCAAAAAGTAAAATTTAAGCATGATATATTTTTGCCGCTGTAAAATGACTTGCGATTAATAATGTTAATCTTTTAATATGACAAACAATATGTTAAGGTCGTAATTTGCAGTGAGAAACGGATTAAAGATAACAGATTATGATTTAAGTTGATCTGTTTTCACCCGAGCAGTTTATATACCTTTCAGGAGCAAACACTTTCATTTTCATTTTGAAATTAACTGTGTGAGGAAACGGTTTTATCAAATTAAAGTTTGATCTCGTATTCCCTTGTGAAAGTACAAAAAAATCATTTTGATTAATTTGTGAATTTATATTATAAAAATAAATTATTATTATTATCTGCAGTATTTGAGAAACAGATTTTGATAATATCTTAGTTTCTGGAATGCTAGGAACAATGTCGTCTGCGGAGCTGCATGATTATGAAGTTATGTTTAAGAGGCACGTTCACGACAACCTCTTGTTGAACAATGACCTGAGATTAATGGACGATATGAAAAAAGCAAAGCTGAAGGAGCTGTCGAGGGATAGAGATTTATTCAAAGCAAAATTTTCGAAATTTCACAAATTGAACTCAAAGCGGCACATGCCCGAAGGACACTATACCAGAAATGCTACACCCAAAGCTTCACACAAACCGTCTTTCATTGTTTGTAAAAACTCTCCATGCTCACTAAAGTCTTGGAATAATTTGACAGATTTAACAAAAGAGAAGGTCGATGTTTATAAAACAGAAGTTTTACAAAGTGACGAGGCAGCAGTGTCATTCCGGCGGAAAAACAAGGACAGTAATTCAAATGCAGACAAAAATTCGATGCAAAGGAAAATAAGTGCTCTTCCAGACAGGATGCCAAACGGTTTACAATTATGCAGAAGTCAAACAACGCTATCTAAATCTACTGATCTAAGCGAACAAAAGTCCAACTTGGACACAGATGATTTCCATCTTCCAGACTTCCGCCGGCGTTCTTCAACTATGCCAAGTTACTGTTTCAGGACGAAATTAAATCTAGGAAACAAAAGATCAAGCCCAGTACTGGAAAATAAACCACAATGTGACGTCAATGAATCAAAATGCATTGAAACGTCCACAAAATATAATAACACTCAAAATGCAGATGAACAAAAGAACAAAAATGAGTTAGGCAAATCAATACCATGTGTACTAATATCTGATCATAGCAACGAAAATATTGCTAAAGCAACAGACAAAGGGTTAAATGTAACATTTGACCTTACCGACGACAAAAGTGTTCATGAAGAAATTGAAAGACGGACAGCATTTCCAAAAATTGATAAAAAGTTTCAGAGGGCAAAATCAATGATTATATCTGATAATCAGTTACCGGTATCTGCAAATTCTCCAGAAACTTTCCGTAGACGGAGCATGACAGTTGCCTCCATCCGACAAGATAACGTAGATGACCAATTATCTTTACCGCAGACGTTCCGTAGACGGAGCATGACAGTTGACTATTCCGGGTCACCCATCATACGAAAACTCTTAAACAAGAGAGTAAGCATAGATAAATTCAATTTGACGGCGAGAAGACAAAGTTTGTTTGACAAACTCGTAACTGCTTCAATGTCTTCGAGTGAAGATGTTTCAGATTTGGAATATTCGAAATCTGTAGAAGATTTAGAGGCATGTAGATATCTCAGGAAGCCTGGACAGAATATCCATGGCAGCAAAGAGGAGTTGGATTTAGATGTTATATTTAAACAGGACAGTGAGTGACTCGAAAACAGTATGGAAACTTGCAAATTAAATATTGCTTTTAATCATTAATTTACATATTACAGATATACAAGTATTTGTATAAATTCGTTGAAAATCACATGGTTCACAACACTTATTTATTGTTCCATTGTCATGAACAACATGTATGCACTTCTTTGTATAAATTTAAGCGTTCATTAAATGAAAACATGATGTTTGGTTTTCTTTCATTCCATTTCCATTCTTTTGAAGTTTGGCTAAAAAGTCCTCATCTTGACATCTTTTTGACAAATTCTGAAACAAACAATAAAAATGATTTGATATCTTTGTATTTAAACTGAAAACAAAAATCCGTCAGCTATGTTTGTTATTCTGAAGAACTTGTATTATAATAGCCATTGCTATGAGTACACGTACATGTTTTACTACATGCATGTAATTTACTGTTGTAAAAAACAATATCATACATGTGCTTTTGTTTTCCTGTAAGAATAAAGATTTCCCCGCAAATTCAATTTGCCAGTACTATTATCAACATTAGTCTCTTAACTGGGTGTTTTTTTTATATTTATCATGTATTGGCCATTCCAAAATGGAAGGCATCCAGTTTTAATTTCAAAATTCGCATTTTTATTTGCAAAAACTCCGATTCAAGACAGACAAAATTTACAAGAGTAGAAATTTCTAGTTTCATAAATCCAACAATTGTAAATCTATTTCACCACTTGAAATAAAAATGATATGAATTACATGTAATGTATCTAAATCTTCGGAAAGTTTAGAAACATGGTATGTTGCTATTTGAACTTGTTTCAATATAACATAATCATGTCAGTTTCAAAAGCGAAGGTTGAATAATACCACATATTCAAGCATATGTGTGCTCTTTTGAGTTCAGCTTAAGGTCTTTATAGCTAATGCATATTATTGTGATGCATATTATCGTAATTCAATACCAGCAGATTTGTTTCACCTTTTTACTACCAATATTCTACTTATTGGCAAAATACTAATAGCAAGTGATTTAAGATGTAACATTCGAAATGGAGCACAATGCTTTCCTTAGCTTACCAACATAATTGATTTGTCCTCGCCCGAGTCTATCCCCTTGTCGGATTAATTCCTCGATTTCTTTCATGTTCAGTTTTTCCCCAAGACTTGTTAGTACATGTCGCAACTGAAGTGTACTCACAAATCCGTTATTATCATAGTCAAACACTCTGAAAAACATTTTTATATACATAACCAGTGTTGAACACACATGGAATTATTACATTACAGTAACACCCTTTCTTAAAACGCAAATCTATGTACAATTTTAGGGAAAAAACTATAAATAAAAGTACATATAAATTTATTGACTTTTTATGTTCAAAAATCTGGAAAGAGAGTGTTCCCTCGGAAGCTAACACTTTTGGAAACTTATTCAGTATATACTCGTACTTATACAAAAACAGCCATCGAACGCATGAGAAAACATACATTTATTTGACCTTCTGAAACAAGATTAAGGAGCATATATAATTAATTATTTTATATAGTCTTGCACTCTCGGGCACATGTTTATTGTTCAATATTTCTTAAAACTGTCGGACACTTGCAGTCGGCAATTTTTGAACACATTCGATATAGTAAAGTGTGATTGTTACATTTTAAAGTTAATCTTTAAATACCTGAATGCGTCAATAAGTTCTTTCTGCGTTTCTGGTGCCTTTACTTTTCTTACCATCATTGTCAAGAACTCAGGAAACTCTATTGTTCCACTTTCTGTAAGATATAATTACTTTAGTTTTATGACCCGTTTATTCGTTTGTTTTAATTTTAGTGGGGACAGATTTTAAGGTACTCAAGTCATGACAATGTATATACCAGCGAGCGTCTACCTACATTTTATCAATAATTAGCGACCAGGAAAATCTTTTTGCTCTAATTATTACAGACTTCGAATAAAGCATACGGTGCAGTCAAGACTTGAACTTGCAAATCTGAAGTCCACTGTCCTTGTGCTCTCCCTACAGATCGGATGATTTTTGCTCTCGTATAACTTGACACTGTACACACTATACTTATTGCATATCATTGCTCGCTTTCAATGTTTCACAAAACTCGTTTCATAATACTTTCCTAGAGTACATCTCGTGTATGACCTAATTATACAGACAAGTTTAGTAAAACATTTCATTGCATCAAATAACATGTCAAACATTATGATGAGTAAATGGGTTGGACAACAAATTCTTGCAACATTAGATTTAGCTCTTCACAGACAAGGAACTGTAACATTCAACCCAGAATAAAGACTTTTAGGTAAAAATAATCTATTCAAACACACGGAGCGAAAAAGGAAAACCATAAACAAAATCATTAGATGTAAAAGAGAATAAAAAAGGAGAGATGAAAAAGGTAAGAATTGATCAGTTGAAATGTGCAGTTTTCAATGATTTTATTTCTTTATCCTAATGATGGAGATATTTGTCGAATAAATTCAAAATAGGCTGGGCCATTCTTTAATTGGAAGTCATTTATGAAAATAAACATGATCAACGTAAACATGTTATGTCATTTCATCTGCCAGAATAACAATTTTTTAGTAAATATGTTTACTCCTTTACAACAAGAACATTACCAATGAGCAAACTATGTTAAGATTAATAAACATGCTTCGATGAACTATTTGATAAATTGGTATTAGATCAAGATTGACCTTTCAAAAGATAATCCTGACCTAGATTACTAGGTCAGTATTAGTAATACATATATAGTCTTATATTTTACGGTTGAAATATGAAAAAATAATTTGATGTGACATGAGATTCAGTTTTTAACAATTAGATAATCCTTTTGGAAGATATTTGTTACAAAAATGTACACGGCAACAATGGTCCATGTATTGACCTTCAATTAATGGCCATTAACTTATCAAATGTTGTCATTGAAAACGAGCTGTCATTTAAATAGTAAATGTCCCAGAAAATGGATTTGCAGGAAAAAAGAATTAAAACATGCATCCTTCGCGTGATAGAAAATTCTTTTTTGGATAATATTTTAAGAAAAGCATTAAATGTTCAACCTCAACCTCTTTATGAAGTAAGCTCCTTAGCCATTTTCTTTTAGCGAAAATTAAATAGCAAATTTTATCATACATTTTCTTATTTAAATCATCATCAGATTATCTTATTCTCGCCTAATTTAGGTTAATTTATTGCAAATGTAGAGATGAAATCACATTACCCATGTTAACATTGGTAATTTTTATAAATCATATTTTTGTTTTGTTTCCAAGTATAAAATGTCACATTATGTTTATAACATAAATACATAAGTCAAATGCAACCCACTTCTCAAAGGGGAAACATGGTCTTTGACTTTGAAATCTTCAAACCACTGGTAAAGGCCCATCTTGCGGTGAAAGCAGATAATAAAATTTCTCTAAATGCTAACATCCTCCGAGCTGGACACACCAAAATTCGCTTTTTGGCACCAAAACAAAACCTCGGCATTGAACCGACAATGACAGACGAAATGTCAAATGTAGGCTCAACCTTGCCGTTATCTCCCTATGTCCCACTTTTTGAACGGGTGTTCAATTGTCTGTTGCATAAACGGCAACAAAATGGAACAATAACTATAACAGTACTTCGAAAAAATACTCATTTAAGCCCTTGATCACATACCGTCATCATCTACCTCACGGATCATGTCCCTAAGTTCCTCATCTGATGGATTTTTGCCTAGAGAACGTAACACAACCTTCAAGTCATCTACTGTAATACTACCAAGACCCTCGCGGTCGAACAGACCAAACGCTTCCTGAAAGTCTGCAAAAAAGCAAATGGCGATACAAAAAGGGAAACAACGATTGATAACTTGGCTTTTCATAATGTTAAAAGGTATCTATGTATTACTTTTTTATGATCAGGTACAATGTATTTCACAGTCTTACTTTTAATAATGTTAATAGATATAAACTTATTGACCATGCATAATATAGATGTTTTATAGCAATTTAGCCTGATTGTCGACGGTAATAGGTAATAAGTTTTGACTTGTTTCTCTTTGGGAGCTTCAAGTTAAACATACATTTCTAAAGGCTATAATTGAGTTGCATGTTGTCTTGCCATCGGAAGAAAATAGCCAAAGAGCGATCACTGTACTTGTATACGGATACGTTTTGTCCAGAGCAAAATGACACTTTAAGATTTATACTTTAAAACGTTTTTGCTTTGAAGTTGAGAATAAAATATTACAGTCGGTAATTAGAAAATTTTAAAGCAATCTTTACCTTCGACCTCTTCCTGCGACAGATGAAGATCTCCGGCTCCAACTTCGTACTAAAATCATTGAAGAGAAAATAATCATAAAGTACTCTTTTTGTCTTATACCCAGCAATAAATCAATAAAAGAAAAACAGTTAAAGATATACTATGCTAAAATTTGATATTTGAAAATATTGATAATTGCTACACAGTCTCTTTGTAAACATGAAATAAACATGTTTTGACTTCACACAAAGTAGATACGTTAGACTTTAATCATACACAATATAGATGGTCACAATATGAATATACAGTGTCATTAAAAAAACTGGCAGTTTTTTAAGAAAGGACCACCTTTACTTGACCCGTGGTAAGGATCATAGATTCCCATTCATAGTTTGTACACTATTTTATTCAAATGTACACTATTTTATTCAAATAACACATATTCAGTAAGAATTTTATAGATTTCAATAAATTTCTGCGCTTAAAATATTTCACTCAAAGATGAGCATAATATATTTCGCTGACATGACTAAGATATTGATAAATTACAATTAATACTAAATAATCTTTTTCATATTTTTAAAATATTTTTTTCTTTTAGAAATACAAGCAAAAGATAAACACATACCATAGACATGATTGTTTCAGTTGAACAGAAGTCTGATAATGTTTATATGATATTTAATGTTTGTAAGATATTGTGTACTCGACTTTACTAAATCCGCATTGTTTTTCAGGTTAAGGCGTTAATTATAATCATCTATTGATATAGATTAATCATCAATATTAACAGACGCGTTGGTATCATATTACATTTTAGTCAATAGAAGGGGTAAAAAATATGTATTAAACCTACGGTATATAATATGGATATAAGGAATATCATTGTTTACCCCTGTGAAATACCATATATATCTCTTAAACGCACAAATTGTGGTATTTTTACTTCATACAAAAAAATGCTAAACTGTATTATACTTGTATCATAGTTTGGGGACCTTTCTGTTGAAAATGTGTCAGAGTTAAATCGTATACATATACATGCACAGTGCGTTAACTGGAGTGCAGGTATTAGTTACCCGCACTCCAGAGCATGCCCGTTGATTGGCTCATTTTTGCTGGGTTTTACTTATTAGGGAAAGCGACAGAAATATCATATTCAGATGCTCGTTCATTGGTTACTTTTTCCCGGGGTTTCATATTGTGACAACAGGGAACGTGTTTTTATGTTTGACTATGATACAAAAGAGAAAGAACATCAAAACACTCGGCAATCTGATTAATACTCGGGGGCTACGCCCCCTCGTACAAATCAGATAGCCTCGTGGTTCGATGCTCTTTCTATTACTAAATGCCACAATGCAAAAGAAGTAAATGAAGGTTCAGCTATATAATTGTTTGAAATCTGTAATAATGCACCGAAAATAATGATGATTAAAGACATAACAATAACTCCACTTTTTTTAGGTTAACGGGCCTTTGTTTGCTATAATTATTGCGCAGGGGTTTAACAGGTTTATACATCTACGACATAAGTACATTGTACTGCCATTTTAGAGCAACCATTTTAAAATTTCTAACCTTTATGTTAATTTGGAAACTTTTACATAAGTAAGAATTTATGTTTTGTATTATTTAGGCACTTTTTCTATTCAAAACACCCAGTTTACAAGCTTTACAGTTTATCTCCAATCTCTCGAACTGCTGACTGTCCAAATTATTAGTAATAGAAAGAGCATCGAAACACGAGGCTATCTGATTTGTACGAGGGGGCGTAGCCCCCGAGTATTAATCAGATTGCCGAGTGTTTTGATGTTCTTTCTCTTTTGTATCATAGTCATGTCACAATATGAAACCCCGGGAAAAAGTAACCAATGAACGAGCATCTGAATATGATATTTTTGTCGCTTTCCCTTTCTCTTCCGTCAAAATAAGTAAACCCCAGCAAAAATGAGCCAATCAATGGACATGCTCTGGAGTGCGGGTAACTAATACCTGCACTCCTGTTAAGGCACTGTGCATGTATATGTATACGATTTAACTCTGACACATTTTCAACAGAAAGGTCCCCAAACTATGATACAATTTTACTTTGATGTCTCATTTCCATATCCGGTGTATAGTATGACAATTTACTTAAATCGTGGTCAGTGAATTACAGTGTATTTGATGGCTTCTTAATTATTGTAACTTATATTAAATACTTTCTATTCAGATAACTGAAACTAACCAGTTCCGAGTCCTATAAGCAAACATGGTTCTTTCTCAAACAGGACTTGAACCCAAAATCAACAATGGGTTTAGAGACAGGTACCTATGAGGCAAGCACGTATATGACAAGCACTTTTAGGCAGGCATAAAGAGGTAAACACTTATGCAAATGATAAATGAATGATTTAAAATACATGTAATCGGAGCAATTTGAAGGATCTAGATATATTTAATTCATATTTAATGTATATTTTATGTTTTAATATTTATCCTTTTAAAATGGCAATAATCTACTTTATGCGTACATGACATAGCAAGTAGCTAAATAAATAAATTCAGGTTTTTTTATAAAAAATTTCCAATTTTGTTAACCTATAAATAAATTGACAAAATCCTTATAAATGGCAATAATGTACTTTATGCGTACATGACATAGCAAGTAGCTAAATAAATAAATTCAGGTTTATTTAAAAAAAAACTTCTCCAATTTTGTTAACCTATAAATAAATTGACAAATCATATAATTTAGAATAACAAATTATGTTTCGCTTTTTCAATTGACAAATTCAATAAGCTTATAGCTTTCAATATCGAACTAAAATAAAGCAGTATAAACTAATAAACAAATAAGTAACAAAATACATGTATGTAAATATATTTTAACACGACAAACAAACGTTGCCGCTGTGATGCAATAAAAGAAACAAAGGTCAAAGAAACAACAAAAAACGAACTTTTTTTAATAGTTTACTGATCATGACAATAGTGTTCATAAATATCAAAATGTATGATATAATGGGATTGTAAAATAATGAAAGACATTTGAAGACAGAGGCCATCAATTGCTGTTACAGCACATATTCGGAAACATGGAAATGTGTAAGTATCCTTCGCTTTTATCGTTAATTAATATCCTACCAAACTATCTTCTAACACCACTTGACGCTAACATCATGTTTACAAATTCTGGAAACAAATAAGAAAAAATAAAAATAAAACACAGTGGTAAAAAAATAGCTAGTTACTACTAGTTACTACGTATATGTAGACTACATGTTTAGTGTAAGACCGGTTTTTTGTTTGTTTTATTTCTAAAATTTATATCAAGTCGGCCACTTATAGTCTAAATGAATATCAAAAGTAAAGTGCCATAATCATGCTAACGTATTGAGCTTAATGTTTCCATTATATATATATATATTTTTTTTTTGGTTAATGTTTACGTACCACCAAACAGTCAAACATAATAGTCATGCTTAACTGGTGGTACATTATTTCAGGCACTTACGGTTCCAAGATGTCAAATCGTAAATGAATATAACATAAAATTATAACTTAACACTTACCATCATAATCTATTTCACCATCATTGTTAACATCTGCTTCTCGCATCATCTCGTCCACTTCCTCATCTGTGAGTTTTTCTCCGAGATTTGTCATCACGTGACGTAATTCTCCGGCACTTATTTTTCCTGAACCGTCTTTGTCAAAAACTCTAAATGCTGCTTTTAAATCTTCATCCGAATCATTATCACGCATGTGTCGCACCATCATAGTTAAGAATTCTGGGAATTCAACAGTTCCGCTTCCTGTAACAAACTGATCAGGTTTACTTCCGGATATGCAATTCATTCTTTCTCCGTCTTATAAATAAACATAATTTTAACACTCATGTTATAATTGTCAAACCAATTAACTTGAAAGAAATCATAGTGAAATAAGACATGGACACAGAGACACGGATTCTATTTCCTATTATAGCATGTAACCTTACGTTCAGTGCAACAAAGAAATTACCGGAATGCAAAATGTTAAGTACTGTTTTGTTATAGCCCGATGAAAAGATTTGGGATAGTAATTAATAATTATGAAGGAATCTTTCTATGTTAAACATATATACATATATGTTGGAATGTCAAAGACCTCTTACCGTCTGCATCAACTTCATTGATCATATCCTGTAGTTGAGCCTCGGTTGGGTTTGACCCCAGTGACCTCATCACAGTGCCTAGCTCTGTTGATGTTATGGTACCATCGCCATCTTTATCAAACAAACTAAACGCCTCTTTAAACTCTGCAAAATATTCACCTTATTTGTTAATACAATGTATACTAGTACATGCATACCCTTTGTTTAAACAATATGCAATATTTTATGAGAAATCAAACCTTTGCTGCAGGCGACTTCCACATACAAACCATGTGAAAAACATCTCTTGCTGGAAATTAATGTTTTATCTCCATAATTAAAAGTCTAAAAAAATTACAATAGAGAAAATCTACAAAAAAGAACACAGGTCAATTTATAAAAATATTTGTTTGAAAACAAGATGAATAAAAACCTTTAACTTGTTGGCAATGAATTATGTATTTTAAAACAATAAAGTTTGTGACTTTAAAAGAATGGCTTTTTAGTAAACAATCTATTGTGAGATAGGACCAGACGATAAATGCTATATATGGATGTTAATCTATTAATTTAGAGATAAAATAACAGCCATCATCAAATCTACATATTAATTTCCATTACCTGCAATTTGTTCATCTGTTAATTGTGTTTCCTGTAAATGAAATAAATAAAAGGGAAATGACGTATATGCACTTTGTTTAGTTTTTGTAATCAAACTCTGCGTTATCTTTCCAAATCAGGGAATAGAGCCAGGCTAGCCTTTATATAAACGCCTCTAGATTCGATGGATTTTATACAGTTTGGTGTTCTATTTTATATCTAACTACTAATAAAAAAACAAGAACAAGAAATGGAAAGTTCATAATGCAATATCTATGAATATGCAATAAAATTACCATTTACACCTCGACTGGTAAACAACAACAGAAAAAAGTAATATAATATAAAAAATACTTAAAATATCTAACAATATCGAAAACAAACGTCAAAAAGCTTACCATATTTCTTCTTACTGATTACATAAAATGAATTTATAAATGAATATGTATGTTATCCTAATGCACAGTCTTCGTTAAACAACCATGTTAAAACTTGTAACATCTATAAACAAATACCTAACATCATAGTACTGAAATATAATATTGAAATGTTGAAATGATCATTAAAAATTATTCAAACTGCGACAGTGCCGCATTGCGGCATATGTTTTTTTCAAAAGCGCGCATTATATACAGAATAGATTAATATTGGTACCGTATTTTAAAGCTTCAAAATTTGATACTATCATTAATTGTTTTAGAACAATGGGTCAATATTATAAGGGGTATACTGTTTTGAAGATTTCATCTAATCTATAAAAGAGTATGTACTAATGGTCGGGTAGTTTATGAATTTATAAACTTTAAAAAGCTAATGGAGATATGTAAAAAATAAAATGGTAAGAACTTATATTATTTTTTATTTCAACTATGTTTTGTCATGTTAAAATTTATAAGTGTTCATGTTTTAAAATCAGTTTAAATGTTCTTGCAAATTTGCTTTAAATATGACAATAAAGATTAACATAGGAGAGAACCGTTCACGAAAATAGTTTGGAAGACAAATGTCAAGCAACATAAATGTACAAATTTACTTAGTTTGAAAACAATCAATATATTCATGAGAACAGAAATCAAGTTATTTTCAGGATATCTGAACTGTTATTGATTGTTATCGGCTGAATATAGTAGATAAATATTTTAAACAATATTTATAATTTATATAGATATAATATTGATTCACAAATAAGCAAGGCATTTGTATGGTGGCTGATTTCCGCCATCTCATGCGTCCGTGTCTTAGCCCCTCAAATGAGACACGAATACACGGTTATATGCTCGTTTATCGAGTTTTTACCTTCGACTTTTGAGGGGCGAAGACACGAAGATATTTCCCTTGTACATTGGCGAAATATTAGTATTAAAATTCGGAAATTCAGCTAGATTAGGAACGTCTGTGGTTCTACTCAGGTGTCTGTGCACGTTTATAATAAAGTTTGAAGGCTGTATGTAAGTGTTGGTGTGACGTTAAAAGTGATAATAATAATAATGATAATAATAATTAATAATGATAATAATAATAATAATAATAATAATAATAATAATAATAATAATAATAATAATAATAATAATAATAATAATAATAATAATGTTTTTTTTTCATTAAACTTAATATGAAAAACTATGCTATTTTAACAGTGTTTAATTGTTTACAGTCTGACGTGTTTACAGAAGAGCAGCTTGAAGGTAAACAATAAATTTTAATGTTCAAAATACAAGAATTTAAAAAGCCACAATGCGCGCAGATAATGTAGAATTTAAATACATTATGTATTGTGATTCACAGATGCATCGCAGATTTCCGAAGTCAGTGATTATATTGCAATATATAAGATTTGTCTTAGCGTGTTTGACTATGGTGTTAGATTATTTGTCAAAGAAGTCACGTCAGGTAAACTTACGAAAAAGCAGACGAATATTTCTTGTGTGAGTGATACATTATGTTTTCCATTGTTTAAATATATGAGCCGCGTCATGACAAAACCAGCATAATTGGTTTGCGACCAGCATGGATCCAGACCAGCCTGCGCATCCGCGCAGTCTGATCAGGATCCTTGCTGTTCGCTTACCAACCTATGACAAGTAGTGAAACTGATAGCAAACAGCATGGATCCTGATTAGACTGCGCGGATGCGCAGGCTGGTCTGGATCCATGCTGGTCGCAAACCCATTATGTTGGTTTTGTCGTGACACGACTCATATGGGTGTGTAACTTTCAGAGTTCAAGGAGACGTTCAGCTTGTTTGACAAAGAAGGAGATGGTTCTATATCAATAAAGGAACTTGGTACCGTCCTCAGAGCTTTGGGGCAACATCCAACCGAGGCTGACCTTAATGACCTCATCGGTAATCTAGAGGTTGAAGGTCAGTTTCTATTTCTTATTTCATTTCCATTTGTGAAAGGACTCAAAGGAGTGATATTTATTTCAAAAATACTACATTTGAAAAATGTAGCAATTTCACATAAAAGTACAGTACTTAGTATTAGGATCTGAGTTTGAAATGGGAAAAAGTAATATTTATTTAGAAATATTTAGAAATAATATTACAATCTATATAACAAATACTGCCTAGTTCATATTGCAAACTCCTTATACATTAAAATTATAATAAACTTACACATTAATTGTGAATGTCCGGACATATATAGTAACACTTTTATAGTGATCCTGAAATTATATGAGCCGTGTCACGACAAAACCAACATAGTGGGTTTGCGACCAGCATGGATCCAGATCCGCGCAGTCTGATCAGGATCCATGCTGTTCGCTTACAAACCCTATAACAAGTAGAGAAACTGATAGCGAACAGCATGGATCCTGATCAGACTGCGCGGATGCGCAGGCTGGTCTGGATCCATGCTGGTCGCAAACCTATTATTTTGGTTTTGTCGTGACGCGGCTCATATTGCTTTTGACACCACCTGTATCTTGTATATAATACTTCAGGACACATGACCATTGAGTTTCCAGAGTTTTTGAGTATCCTGGCGAAAATCATCAAAGATACCGATCCAGAGACCGAACTTACCGAAGCTTTCAAGGTATGATAATAAGGTCAAAAAGATGTTTTTGTTTTTTGTGTGTTTTTCAATATTGTATGTCACCCCATTGCAATGCCAAATGAAATATGAACGTTGCAAATTTAATAACATTCATAGGGCTACTTACTTTGTCAAAGAGATATTGGTGATATTTCAAATTGCAAAATTATATGTACAGATTATAAATAAAAATCGTAAATGCCAAGTTTTAAGAACAACTTCTGCAGTTTCTTGTTAATCGATAACATTTGAAGAAAAATGTCTAGAATGCGGTTTTCATGTGTATAGTTACCACTACAATGTATATGGTATTTCATGCCATTTGCACAATTTTCAAGACCTTCGAGATTTAAGTCAAATCGAACCTCGACGCTTATGACTTTACAATTTTACTGCATCTTGGAGTAAAATGAAAGCCACGGATAGGAATGAGAAGAAAATCGTAATAGCAACTTATAGGGAACATTCGTACACTAACGAAGACTAAGTAGAACATTTGTTTTCCAGAATGCATAGCAGAAAACATTATCAATCTCATAAACAGAATTGCAACATAAAAATCCATTCCCGGTGTTAAGCCATGCGAGGAAATACATATTTCATTGTTTCCAGTAATTGGTGTCTTTTCGTTATCAGTGCCAGCCTTTTTGCATGAGCACACAGTCCCAGAATGCATTAGCACCAAATGTTCGTTATTATGTGTAGATCCTGCGCTAAATATGTGCGGTTTGTACTCGCGTTTATGATTATTGTGATTTTATTCTCGACAATTGGTACAATAATGTTTCATATTGTAGCTGATACCTTAAACAAGTTGGATTCAATAGTTGCTCACAAATCAAGCGTTTGAAAACGTCATGGGGAATTCATTTGGCTTAGTGAGACAGGCCATCAATTAAGACCTGCATTGTGGGAAAATCCCTTAATTTTGCCCATTCAACGTAAATAACATCAAATTACTGTTTCAGATTTTCGACAAAGAAAACACGGGCAACATCTCTAACGCCGACTTACGGCGAATTATGACGACGTATGGCGAGGTGTTGAATGACGAAGAGATAGAAGAGATGATCAAAGAAGCCGACACCGACGGCGACGGCATTGTCGATTATGCTGGTATGATTTACCGTTCTTACTCACTGACTTCAGTTTGTATCACCCCCTTTACGAAATTTATAAGGCGTAGAAATAACACGTTGTGCAAATTGATTCATTTTAAGGAACGAGTTTCATTACGAAAAAGACATTTATGGGATAAAGTGAGAAATTACCTTACAAATTTGGCATCTCTATTAACAATGAATATTCATTGGTAGTAAAAAGAACATAAAACAAATTCTGTAAAAGTACTGTACTGTTAAACTTGAGCTATAACTACTCTGAGCAGACATTGTTTCTTTTCTAAAACACTGCTTTTACCTTTACGTTTTACTCTTGAATAAACACCACTCTTAGAAAAAGACCATATTTTAACACCCCGATAATATTTAAGTTCCAAAGCATTACGTAAGTAAGTAATAAAAGTAATGTTTTTTTTCTCCATAGACTTGACTTTATTTTCAAATGTTTTATTTTTCAGAGTTTATCTCCATGGTGATACAACCTTAAAACGTCACAACTGGTCATTGCAGAGGTCAAAATTCTTCATTTATGGTGTTCTTTCGGTGTTCTTGTATTTTGTGTTGTGAATAAATAATTAGAAAAACATTATAGAATATTGTGTTTCATAATACATGTATTTTCTTTCCTCTCAATTGTTGTCGTCTAGACTGTTGCACAGTTATCTCTCTACATTGTTGATAAAATGAGTCCGGAAGTTTTAAGATTTCAAGTGCTATAGGTGAAACAGACTTTCCTATGCTACCAGTATAAAGTCAGATCGGCCTGCAAGCTCGTTTAGTACGATCGGACATTATAGACTGCCTTTTGCTTACAATAAACAATTGACAGATCCGATTTCAATCCAGGGCAAATCCATTATACATGTTAAGCCATGCAAAGGTTAATAACCTCGTACAAGCATTGAAGACTACATATATACCCGCAGTTCTCATAAAGGAAATATATTGCCTTGCACGACAAGGCACATACCATCATACCAAATGTATTTTTGGCAAACCTGCGTTCCGGACAAGGGAATTTAGCTAATCACCTAAACAGGCAGACGGCAGGGATGTACGTGCACTATGTCTGCCTGTGAAACACTCGACCAGATTTTAACCAATAGCAGTAAGAGCTATCAGAACTATCAGGCCAATATCATAGAGGTATAATGGGTCTTCACCGAGGTATTTTGACCTGACAGGACTTTTTTTGACATTTGATGTAGGACTGAAACTTATGTGCATAATTTCGGACAAAGAATAGCACAAAATACGATTTTTTTTTTCAATTTATTTCCGAGTATATTTCCTAATTATCTCTTGCATATCTTCCTTTTTAAGTTGATCTTTGTAGGAAATTATATTATTTTTGACCTCAGTGGAGTTCCTTTGAACTTAATGTCCTTGAATAAAAATAAAAAAAGATTCAAATTAAAGAGGAAATAAGTGCATTCTTCAAATGTAAGAGGAAAAAGAAGATATTTTATGCTTTTAATTTTTATTATAAAATTACAGCTAGTCCCATTTTACTCCGAACACAAAACCTCTGTAAGTAGTGATATATAAACATTCTTCTATAAAAAAGGAACCCAAATCGCTTACATATAATTATAATAAAACAAAACACAACTCTGTATCTATCACATTCAAAATAGTGTCATATAGTAAAAAAAACATAGATTCTTTGTTGGTCATTGTTCTGATTATGTTCTTGGTCAGCTTATTCTTTATTTTGTAAGATCTTATTTTGGCGGGAAAAAATTAGGTATAAAAAGTATCCAAGTTCCTAACTCACATTTTTCTATTATGCCTATAAACAAAGTGTAATGCGTAGAAAAACTAGCAGATCTAAGAAAACTTTCATTTCATAAAGTAGTTTCATGATATCTTATATACTATCAAAATTCTTTTCTATAAATAAAAATATACAATAACAATGAACAATAAAGCTTTTCCAGACGTTTTTGCAAGCGTTTATGACACACAGTATATATTTATGGAATGGTGATGCCTCATTTTTTTGTTTCCCTCTGTTCGCCTCTTCAGTACAGGCACTGGATGGTGCGTACCATTTCTATAAATGGAAAAAGTAAGGATATAGTAAATAATATTTCCTTTAAAAATTAAAAAGAAAAAAATGGCATCAACAAAAGAATCAAAATTCAAAGAATATGAGCTTCATTTAGTTTCAGTATCTCACTACCAACAATGTATCATCGATTTACAGACAACAAAAACCCGCTCCACTCCTCCAACACAGTGATTCTCCCCAAAAAAGGACACCAAGAATTATAATTGCAACAAAGAAACTTTTTAGGTAGTATTATCTCCCTTTTAACACGAGTGTGCCTCTAAATGCCCCCATACCAATAAATTGTAATAACGGATATTAAATCAACTCAATTCTGACAAAACCTCTGGTAAATCTAACATCATATTAAATAACACATTATACGCCAGGGGGAGTTTTATTTTGGCGATCGTTAAACTAAATTAAGTCCGTACCATAACGATTATTTGGATGAAACATTCCAGGAAGAAATAACTGAAAGTACGTGATCGTGCGTGCCATAAAACAATTATGTCACATCTTAATTCATGAGAGATATTAAATGTTCCATAGTGATATTCAGCGTTCATATAAGATTTCACGCTAAACGACACTTGTGTATGTCAAATAAATGTAGTCAATTTCAAGATTTTCTTCTTAATATGACAATTTTGTATATGTTAAAGAAGATTAAAACTATAGATGATTTCGTTCATCAACAAAGTACATGTATTGTTTATTTTTGACATTTCTTAATAAACTTTGTAAGAATTTTTTAAAGTAAACAGTTCATAGTTCATAATGCGATTTGATGGGAAAAGCTTCCTTTTTAAGACAAATTTTATTAAATATAGAACAAAAAAGAATAGTTTTAAAACCGTTTTAGATAATGATCAATATCATAAAATATATAAATACAAATTGCAGACTTTTTTTCGCAGAAGTGAAAAAATTACCTTCAAAGTTAAATTGGTTATCTCCACTGATTTCTACATCTCGCAACATCTCGTCCACTTGGTCGTCTTTTAGCTTTTCTCCGAGATGTACAAGCACGTGACGGATTTCCTTGACATCAACATATCCATTACCGTCTTTGTCAAAAATACTGAAAGCCTCCTTCAAGTTTTCTTCTGTCTCAAATGGCGGGGCTTTTGTGGCAATTATTGTCTGTATTTCATTTAATGAGAAAAGACGCTCTCCTGGAAAAAAAATCATATCTAAATTTAGAACAAGGATACCGGAAGTGCTTGAAAACATACAATTACTAAAAACGATTTTCTATCAGTAGTTGACACCAACTTTACGTTTTTGTTTATATAACATTATATCAGTAGCCTTTGAAAACATACTTCACGGACGGAGTGCATTTCCTGTCAACCGAAATTTTAACGTGTCGAACTGGAAATCAAAGGATATCTAAAGTCCGCCAGGGCAAGCTGTTGTTTCAACGATCAAGAAAACTTAACGTGTCACCTACTTGTTTTTTTCCAGGAACAGACTCGAAATTGTGTCTGTAAGCTTACAGCTCCCTAAATTAAATGAAAATCTTTATAAACTAAACTGGCCGCTGCTGAACCAAAGAGTAAAAAGGATACCGGAAACACAATACTGTTAATCACAAGTACAGTGGAAACAATTGCAATTGGAATTTACTGCTGCATGACTGATGCATTGTGCTCCTGCATATTGAGTTATTAACACCGAGTGTACATATATAATATGTCTGTTCCCGTGACGACGAAAAAGATCTTAAGGCTAATATGCACTTAATATATAAATCTTGCAATTTTTATACATGTTTCAACTCTTCCTAATTTCATTTTCCTGAAAATACCATGATTGATCATGTGAAAATCAAGGGTTGCATGTAAAAAATGTTTAAAAAACTTACTATCTCCGAGCATACTATTCAGTTCCTCATTGGTTGGACTAAGGGCTATACTCCTGATGACACATGTAGCCTGTTCTCTAGTGACTTTGCCATCTCCGTCACTGTCGTATATGATAAATGCTTCCTTCAATTCTACAACAAATATAGAATAAACATTCAGTTGTGCTTCGATTTAATAAAGTGTTTAATAATGATGACAAGCAAATGCAAAACTGACAGTGGCTCAGTTAGATATAAAGGGTCAATATTGTCACATTCAAAGTAGAGGAACACTTAATCCTATTTACCTATGTTAATTTCATTGCATGTGAAATTACTACAGACACTTTTAGGGATTCAGGTGTTGTTCTTTTTTTTAAAAACACACTTTTTCCTTCATGATATTATAATTACAATGTATTACTAAATCATGTCGGGCCGGGTCTTTAAAGCAAGTTTTACATATTGCTTAATTTTTTTTCTCAAATGTTTTATTTGGGGTGAATGGTAAATGTCAAACAAGAACAGATGTCAGAACTCGGTTTTTAAAGAAGACATTTATGACCTATGTTATAAAAACAGTATGGCTGTTTCTGATACGGATGAATTATTAATGGTGGCAAGCAATCTGATTAAACCAACTTTTTGTAACCAAGACAACAGATTTCTCCGCATTTTTAACCTTAAATTATATAAATTGCTGAATTTGCTGAACATACAGTATATATTATCGATTTTGGGTAACCAACATAAGCCTTGTCAGACGACACAGATGTGCAGGCTGGCCTTGATCTATACTTGTGACAAACCCGTTCCACAGCAAGGTACGGTTAAAAATTACTAAATGACAAATCAATAAGTCTCTTATATGTCAAAATAAGTTTACAAATCAAACAGTTGTGTCAATTTCGATTTCCACTTTAACAGTTCTGGAATATAACGAGAAAATTTGCATTTACAGACGTAAATTATTATGATTTGAAATATCTTATCATTGGATGCTTGAATACCTCAAATTTGCAATGACCGTCTTGCAAAACGTTGTCTACATATGAAATTGAGCGAAGAACAAAACAAACTTCAAATAGTGTTTATCATAAATGCAGCACTTTAAAATCATGTTTATTTAGTATACTTTTTTTAAATAAGATAATTGGGCAACATGATACATTATTCTAAATAATTAAATTCTTTGCTAAAGGTAGAAAACCTGTTTCAATCATAATTGTATAGGTATTTGAAAAGTTGTTAACTACAATGTATTTCTTATCTCAAAGAAATGCACTATGTGTCAATAAACAAACAGGCTATACAAACATGAAGTGGTGAATAAACTGTTAGGATTGGTTAATCAAAATATTTCTTCCTGATAAACTCCATATCGCCATACATGTATCCTTATTTAATCAATCTCTTGAACGCGTTGACATTTAAATGTCATACATAACTGTTCTATATCCTTATAGCAGGTCACTAGGATAACTTGCGTGGCTTACTAGATTTCCAAGTTGGGACCAAGAATCTGGATCGAACCAAGTGTGTTGTATACATGTATATGTATGGTTATATGTAGCTGCCCTCTGTATATCAATTGAGTGATATAGGCAACCAATTATAGTCGAGATTTAATTACATCATTTTCTCTTCAAGTATTTGAAATTATGGTCTTTCTAAATTAAAGACTATATATATGTGTGTAATGGATTTGATCATCTACTGGTCCATTATAAACTTAGCAGAGCTCAGCAGCTGGGGTTCGAACACGAAAAAAGCATTAAATGATCAATCTTACATCACTGCCCCCTACCTCGAAATCATGTTGTTTGATGTACAGGGGTATTTTTTGTTTAAAAAAAGGTACTGCAGTGAAAAAAAAATATTGATAATATAATTAAATTACCTTCCTGTTGTTTTGCGTTCAGTTTAACACCGGTGAGAGGCTGAAATTAAAATAAATAAATAAATAAATAAATAAATAAATAAATAAATAAATAAATAAATAAATAAATAAATAAATAAATAAATAAACAAATAAATAAATAAATAAACAAATAATTGGCCTACTGTACATGACTGTAGTTTTGAACAAAACATCGACTAATCAACTTGATATTTCAGAAGATTGCGTGTCGGTTTGTATAGTCTTAAGATATCATATATTTTTTCGGTTCAATATATTTTGTATCAATCAAAACTGACATACGGATTCGAAAATGTTGTTTATTTTCTTGAATTTGACATATTGTGAAATAATGTATCAGTAAGACTGTAAGAGCACCCCATATGCGGCCTCAATTTGTAAAGAATGCAACACAGATTGTAAGAAGTATACCAGTTATCGACCAAAATTTCCGCCATATAAAACATTCAAATTTGTATATTTCTAGATAATATCCATGTAAATATATACTATATATAGATTTTAAATATTTGAATTCTTTACTCAACTCAATAGATTCAACAAACAATAAAATGATACCTGTATAATAAAGGGAAGACAATCCCGAATATGTAAACAAGACACACCTGTTTAGCTTATTTTCAATTTCTTTAAACTTTAGAGAAGTATTTTGATTAAAATATGTTATATTTATATATAATAATGCTACATACCATATTTTCCGTAAATTAGTGGATGAAAAAGTTCCAAATTTGAAGATAAATCGTGATTAAACTGATGTGTCAAACGCTAAAAATACCACAACATTTAACAACCGGTTTACCCTCTGGTAATTATCGATAACAGAGAGGTTCCGCATGGGGAGTTGAATTGTTGGAGCGATACGTTACGACCGTAGGTATAATGGTATATTATGCATCATTTATTTATAATCCTACTATATAGATTTATATGGATCATGCATGATTTATTTCGGTATTTCACTAGTGTCTGATCTAAAGAGAATATTTGCCTTTGTCTGTTATGTTATATTATTTATTTACAATTTAATTAGTTGCGCGCAACCTTATAAATCGAGTGACATTGCACTTATATACTTATACAGTATATTTATATAAATGAAAACTAAACAGTAATACCGGTTTATCAAATGATTTATCCTAAATAAAATATTTGTAAGCTCAGATTTAGTTTGCATTTTCATCTCTAAAATATGATTCTTGAGCGAATTAATAAAAGGCACACTAAGTATTCTTAAGAAAGGGCAAACATGAATTATATAAATGTTTAAATAATGGTTATGCATTTTACCTGAAGAAAGTAGCGATAAATTTGAAATAATTTGTCATAAAAGTAGCAAATTGTAAACAAAGTATTTTGACTTCTATAGAAATATACTCATTCACTATATCTGTACTTGGTCAACGAGTAAGCTTTTGGAATCTATAAAAGTACACGGACAATAAAAAGCTTTACAGAAATAAATTTAAAGCATTTCTGAGGCATTATGGGCCTTTAAGGCGTATACATGTTTGACAGTGCTGGAATATAAAACTTAAGATAATAAAGTTCATCGGTAGACTTACCATCAAGGGATATTCTATATCTCTAACTTAGTATAGTTAAATTGTCAAAGTTAAAAATAAAAGTACTATTTACCCTGAATGCGCCCAAGAATAATATGGTTTTCTTCAGGCTTCTTATAACAAATTGGTTTATAATCTCACAACCTTCACCTTTCTGACTCAGAGACCCAAACAAATTCAGCATCTTCTGTGCTTTGATTTGTAACTGTAACAAGATACCAAACACATTTTTTTGAGAAATAAAAGTGATAGAATTTCTTAGGCATAATGGGCCTTTAACATATTTTATTGCTAGTATATACGTAGTGAACAAACAGTACACAGAAACAAAAGGTTTACAAAAATAAAGATAGCAAAAGAGTTGGATACAGCATTAGCTACCGGCCCTCCCACAAAAATAACACATGTATACATGTATATAAAGCAAACATACATAGAAACACATCAATTGAACACCAGAAAGATAATACATTATCCAATTAATAACAAAACCAGAACAAAATTTATCTACTATAGATATTAGGAGCAAAGTAAACAGTACTCCACAACCTGCACAGGTTTTGTTGCTTCTTCACTTCGTAGGGTTGAAAGAGGAGGTTATTTGAATCACATGCTGGATTTTAGTTTGTCTCTTCAAAACGGCTTCGAAGTTGACACGAAACAGAATGTGATTATATCGTTCTAGTTTGACAAAGTGTCTTTCTTCATTCCTATTTTACCTCCAGTTTAAGCTAAAATTATGGAAATGTTGTGCACTCGATCATATGTTTTATGTGAAAATGAATGGTTTGATAAAATATGTCACACAAAGTGTTTTGGTCGCCTTATTGATTCATATCTTTATAACTGAAAAAATGAATACAGAATACATAAATTCTTCGGACAGATAGAAAGATACGACTTTAGGAACGTTTTATCTTAAAAACTTTAGACGTTTCTTGCATACGTAATTGAACTTTAGCTTAAAAGAAACAAAGTTTGACACTGAGCAAAATATCTGATAATTGCGTAAAGACCAATATGGTTATATTAAACATGCATGTCAGAATATCTTGACTTTTTCTTGATCAATGTCAGTCCTTTTCCAGAGACGAAATCGACAGACGTTTGCAAATCCATAATCAGACATCATTTGACAAAACAGTATAGGTTTTGCGTAGTGTAGTTTAACAAATGGCAAATTTACAGTAACCACGCACTATTTAAAACGTTTATAGTATTTTAAATCGACTTTGTAAGTTTACCGGAAAGTGTCCATTCATTATATCAGACACGAGCAGGCAACAGATATAAGCTTATGCCAACAATTAACTCTAATTAAAGATTTGCTTGGCAAGGGAAGTCTTTGGATATATTATTATACAATTTATGTTTTATCTAGATAATTTGGTTAAAATTTGAATAATTTAAATCCTAACGAAACCCCCAAAAACCATAAAAAACAATAACAAAACAAATAACCAGTAACCCAGCCTGCCAGCTAACCAATAAAACATACCTGCCACTCTTACAAAAAAAAACAACAACACCACCACCACCACCACCACCACCATCATCAACATCATCATCATCATCAACAACAACAACAACAACAACAACAACAACAACAACAACAACAACAACAGCAATATCTGAACGGTCACACCAGAAAAGCAAGTAAAACAACAACAACAACAACAACAACAACAACAATACAGACAAAACACCACAGACAAACAATAATGTCCAATAACATGCAATAGCACAAAACAAGACAAAAACAACAAAGCCCCGACTAAAATAAACTACCTTCTTTGTCAAGTGCAAGACGTCTTCAACTAAATTATGTTAGTCGACAATTAATAACGAGTAGAATATGTCCTTACAACATGTCTTGTGTCAAAATGAATGACAGAAGCTAGGGAACATCTTTTGTTATCTCTCTCCTTTGAGGAAATATTGTCAACTTGTATTTTATAATCTAGACTTTTATGTTTAAGCACTATTTATCATAGATGTAGTTGTTAAAAGTAGTTAAGATACAAATGAAAACAAATATGGTCTGGCGTATTTTAAAATTTCTTAGACGCCATGTAATATTTTCATTTGTAAAATGTTTAATTGCTTTTTGTTCACATTATTGAAATGTATAACTTAACACTATTTGATATATATCAGGTTTTATATACCATGTACTGCTGGTCTCTCAATTTTGGCTTTTGTTTTTATCAAAATACCCTAGAACAATGAAAATGGTATCAGAATGCCCTTTAAAGACTACTTTAAAGACAACGATATAAAACATAGAATGATATCAAAATACCTTAGAATGACAATGGTATCAAAAAAACCTTAGGATGACAAATAAATCAAAATACTCCTCAAAGACAATGATATCAAAAACCCTATGATGACAATTATATAAAAAAAACATAAAATGACTATGGTATCAAAATACCATTGAATGTCAATGATATCAAAATACCACAGAATGACAATGATATCAAAATACCCGAGACTACAATTATATCAGAATACCACATAATGACAATGATATCAAAAAACCCGAGACTACAATGATATCAAAATACCATAGAATAACAATACAATATAGATAAGATAGAATGACAATGCTATCAAAATATCATATAATGATAATAATATCAAAAGACTAGAATAAAAATAAAATCAAAATACCATAGAATGACAATGATATCAAAATACCATAAATGATAACGATAATATCAATATACCCGTGACTAACAATGATACGACAGGTCATAATTAAGCTTTTTTTGTGAGTAAATTTACAAATTTACGGAATCATAAAACTTAAAACGCATACCATAATTAGTTCGGCAGATCTATATCACTTACACTGTGGGTGATATACTGTGGGTGATATGGATTAGCAAACCGAATCAGCGACCCCTGGGTTACTAATCCGATGATCTCCCCATTGAGCCACGTGGTGCCATCTAGTTTTAGGGCAAGCCAGTTTTACTCTTGAGGTACTAACATAAAGATATATACTATGAGAAAGGATTTTTGACAGATTTACGTGGACAGATCACACGTGAATGAAATCCTGTGTACCATAAAGTTCGATTAAAGCGATCTCATTTACAACGCTGTAGCCCCATGAAGCTTCTAAATATCTGACGTTTATCTCGAACTCCGCGTATCACTCATATTAAATCATCTCTATATTTGTTTTTAATACTAAAATAAGAAAGTTCTCTTACATAACTTCGATCCATTACTAAATGAGATGTGGTAAAAACACGTAATTCTTTTTTTTAATCTCCAAAGTAGGTTTCTTATTACATTAAATAGATAGTAGATTATTTTAGCTATACATGGCATCGCAACGTAATTCAAATGTTGTTTGGTAGATAAAAAAATCTTAACTTGTAATACCACTTGTAATATTCTATGTATGAAGATTTTATTTTTCGATGAAATAGAATGATGTGTTTTTTAAGCAACGTGTTCTAAAAACGCACAACTATTTGGTAAACAGTCTTTATATGGAACTGTGATTATTTTTAATCGTTTCTACGGATATGCATATGTCATGTTATCAATAATGAATTTCAATTAATGATCATAAAATTAAATTACATGAACATTGATGTCGAGTTAATAATGAACTTTTAAAAATAAAAGTAAAAGTATCAAATAAAGAAGAAAAAAACATGTTCCTGAATGAGTTGCAAGAATTCCTATTGAAATTGCTATTGAAATTCCTATTTACATTGTTGGAAGTATATTAAAAAGTAAGATTTTTCTGTTACCAATATTAACTAAATTGTCTGCCGGTTATTTCAGAGATAGTCCAGCTATAATCAAAACGATTTTGTGTACTAAGATGATGAGATTTCTCTTCTTGATGATAGACTAGATGAACTTGAACTGTAGATTTATTGTTGAGGTTTCTAAAGTAATTCGTCCTTTATGATTCACATAAATGCTGTGATTTTGATAAGACTGATTTTTTATTGATATAAAAATGAACACCACATTGAGTAATGAATTTCAATAAAAATGTTTGATTCGTTTATAAACCCAAATGCTTGGTGATTTCTATTATAAAAAGTACAATATGGCTTATATAGGGGAATTACAATAATAAACGTTATGGTAAAATATTATGCTCTTTGAAATAAAATTGACAAGTGGTGCGACTCGATTGATGTTTTTTTAATAAAACATATATTACTTTAGTGGTGCTCAAAGTAAAAAGGAATATATTACTGATTTTACATTTGAAAATTGGCATAATTTAGTTTATCATCAACATTATA